GCGTAAACAAGGCTGTCATGAAGCAGATACTGCCAACAGGCATCTGCCCTCTGATATCCCTTCCAAGTGGCAAGTCATGGCAAGTCCAAGTCTAAGTTCAACACTCCGGACGGAATGCCAATGAACAAAACCTCCGCAAGTTAACAGAAACGGCATACAACCAATGTCAAACAGCGACCCTTTACAGCATCTCCAGAATGATCCCACATAGACTATGCAAACCAGTATATATATATACTACATATGTGACGTGTTTAATTTACGGTATGTGTTATATAATAATGCAGCTGATTTGTGTTTGTAACACATCCTGCATGTGTTCATGTCTGGAGTCATGACGAGAACAATTGAAGAAACACTGCACTTGACTGCAGCATGCTTACAACATCTTACCACACTGGACCGGTCAGGCCACACCTGTCAGGTACCCTGTCAGACCTCTCATAACTCCCGAAAGCGACTGGTCAAGGGCTCCGGCACGGCACGACGCCAGGGCAGACGAGAAGCTGCTCGATTGGAGGTCGTTGACGGCGCCTTGGGCGAGACCGGTTCCGCTCCGGGACCGGGACCGTGTTGGTTTTGAGGTTCTCCTCCTTCCAGGTTCGCCCTTTCCTTTATTTTATTTTGGTAGCCATGTATGCTGTATACAGTACTATAGCATACTATAGCCTGTAGCTACCAAAATTGGTAGCTGTATACCGCAGTAACACTTACAGTACCTTTTTTTTAGTACTGTAAGTGTTTGTCTTGGTTTTTGTCTTGCATGGTTTTATAGATTGTATGGCTCCAGCACTGCTCCAGAATCCTGGACGTGTAGGGTGTCCACGTGTCCACTTCAGGCGAACCATATGACACTTTTTCACCACATGACGTTTTCACCACATGACAGTAGAACCACATGACGCTTTGGTCATGGTTCAGGACATCTTAGGGCTCTCCATGAAGGTGGATCTTGGGTGTGGCACCAAGGCATGTGGGGGTAGCAGGAAGCCAACCTTCGGATCTAAACATGTCATCGAACGTAAACTCTTGATTGGTAAACCCAAACCTCTTGATGTGGATGGTCAAGACTCCTGATGCAGGGCTTTTCTTGATGAATCCAAGAGTCCGGATTGGGTGGATGAATTCAGGAAAACGATGCACTCAAAGGATCCCACAGGGATGCCACAGAACACCACTTTCACGCCATACATCCTGTGGCGGGCTGAAGAAACCTGGAAACATGGCAAGCACGGCAACACACAGGTCGCTTGGTCTATATTGTTAGGACACCGAGGACACCAGGGCTGCACTCCACGTGTTGACGATCGAGGTCAGCAAGCCACAGTTGCACTTGCAGACTGACCTGGATCGGATGAATGTGAAGTGCCTCGCTGGGGATTTCCGTCGTCAACGGTTGACCGAACTGAGTGCTTCGTGCCGAGAAGAAGCACTCAGATGGGGGAGGTCCCAATGATGAGCTCCACTGTTAGCATAGTTTTCCCTAGGGATCCACACACACACACATATATATATATATATATATCCACACACCTTTTCAGAAGGTACTTGGGCCCTCCAAGCCTGCATAAATTGGTCTCCAACCTTCTCCGAAGGTATGTGGATCCTGCGACACTTGGCACGGCCGTGGAAACTGTGGAAACCTCCAGGTACACTGAGATCTCCTGGAGCAAGCACAAAATCCTCAGACGCTTGCAGTCACAGAGCTATTTGTCGGGGCCCCAGGGTTGGAGCTTCTGGAAGTCTTCTGAAAAGAAGCCCGATTTCATCCCCAAAGTTGGAGCCCTTGCAAGAAGCCCCCCGATCCTCGCACAAACCATTCAATGGGTGTCCCCCAGTTCACCCCCCTCCCACCACCCGGTGACCCTGTACCATTCCTGTTGGCCGAGCCGCTGTGGCACTGTGGCCCATGCGCTTGGAACGCCCATCATCCGTGCTGGCTGGCTGTACCGAGGCCTCGGTGCCTCATCATCCCTGGGTTGACACATCGACTTCGGCTCATGCCGGAACTCCCTCAGGCGCGCGGATTCGAGCACGATTAGAGTCGAGCATTTCCGGAGGGGTGCTCTGATGAAAGATCTTGCTTCGGTCAGAAGTCGGAAGTGTTTTTGGATTGGATCGATGATATCTCCAGCCATCCTGTGGAATCCTATGTGATTCTGGGAGCCTTGAAGTGTAGAACTGGTCATGAACGGGTCATGCTCGGCTCCGCCGCGTTGTATGTGGATCTTGTATAGCTTTGAATCTTCAACTGGCTCGTCCTGCGCGATTGGTCATGGTGGCTGTAGGATTTCCCAGCGTCACACGGGGTTTGCCCACCAGACCCAGTTCAGGTATGCCTGGTGAGAATGCCCCCCTCATCAACAACAACAGTCTTCCCGGAAAATAGCAATCTCAAAGGATTTGTGAGGAGTCGCATGGACCATGGAGCAGAGTCTTCATCAGACTCGATTCCTGAAACACTCATGCAAGTGGAATACAGCCTGTTCGTTAGAGGAAACCGGTCTTCGCTTGGCCATGGGCCATGTTTATCATGTTTGGATGATGTTGGAGGGTCGGTTCCACAGTTTTACCACCTGGCTGGCTTTGTTCCATCCATGCAGAGGGTGGACCATGGTGGAACCTGGACCGGACCATCGGAACCTGCGGTCGACCATCGCGGTGCTCCGTCCAATCGAGGCGCTCTTTGACTATGTGCACTTGGGAGGTGGCGCCGGTTTCGGCGAACCGTCGGCGGTTTCGGTGCCGATCGACAGGGAGCCCCATGAGTTCGAGTTGACATGCCAAAATACATTTGTCATGATTCTTTCCCAATATGGGACGGACAAGTGGATAACCTGAGGTTTTCCCACATGGTGTCACGGTGCTTCAACGGTTTTTTCCTCATTTTTGTAAACAGGAAGTGGGAGCAGGTCTGAGCTGTTGGTGACGGCTCCCATCTCCCAGGTGTTGGATGGTTTTTGGTCACCGTAACGGTTGGACTGCGACCTCCAGTTGCCTAGGAAGTCAAACTTACTTTTATACATGCCTGTGCATACATACCAGGACACATATGGGTGTCTCTAAATATAATTAGCCACTTAGATGACTTAGAGGTGTCCATTAATCACACCTCCAAAAGGCCCTGGTACATGGCTTACTGTACACCACCTGCAATCTGCAAACCAGGAGGAAGCCCCCATTCGAGAAATTCAGATCGATCCCATGCTTTTTTTACTACATTTGCCCGGTGTTCCACGAGGTTCCACACATGTGTGTGACAAAGGGCATGACTGGCTCGTGGTATTCAACCAGGACAGCTGCCTTTGACATGGTATGATTCCTACCTCTTTGGAAGGCTGGATGAGTTTGATGAGCAACCCTTGGGCCCTGCTTGATGAACAACATCCTGGTTTTTTGGGCGTCGAACATAGGAAACCATAGGAAACCTATGGAAACCTTCAAAGCGTTGCCTAGGAGCTGCATGGGGAAAAAATAAAGGTTACATGAACTGCCACAGAACCATGCCAGTTGGTGACGCATGTGCCATGTATCAAGTAGTGCAAGTTATATTTCTAGCTAGCTCCGAGGAGCAAGCGACTGAGCCGGGGTATCCATGTTCCCTATTAGCAGAGTTCCCCAACCCCTTGCTAGATGTTGAATGTATTTGAATATTTCCAACTAGCTAATTAGTTACTTCACCACACCCTGTCGTCGCGGATGTCGCGACCTCCGCTGGCCAGGTCAACTCTACATGCTGGGCAGCCCGGTGAACATCCAACTCATCGAAAAGGCCAATGGCTCGGCTCAAGCGGCGCAACGGCTGCGCGCGGGTGTTTTATTTTTTTTCCGTGGGAATTTCTGTGCTGTTCCTCCATAATAAGGTTCTAGGAGCGTGCCCCAAACCAAGGTTTGGGCCAAACCTTGAGAACTGAGGCACAATTGGATGTGGGCTTAGTGTTAAGGTTCTTTTTAGCCCTTAGAATTGATTCGCTTCTACAACATATTGGTAACGACGAGGGGAACAACTGGCAACTAGGGTCAGGGCAGAGTCAACACCACGGCTAATTACTCACTCAGAAATACAGCACCTCCTAGTGCTCAATTGTCCAGGTGCCAAGTAGGATTTAACATGCTTTGGCGCTTTCTCCATATGGACATGTTTGAATTTCTTCGATGTTCTTCGAACGCTTCGACCGCGACCCTCCGTGACTTCTTCCGTGCTTGACCGCCGGAGCGCGGCACCTACCTTTACACGGTGAAGAGGCCGAGTTTCGGGCTAAAACCCTCGATGTTTGTGGTTGAACTGTTGAACAATGAGGAAACCAAAGAAGAGCTGCCGGAGCTGCTGGTTATGTTGCTGGAGCTGCTGGTTGAAAGCAACAGTGGAGCTGGAGCTGGCCCTTTTGAGTACCACTCTCCCAGAAAAGGATGTCGTTCTATCATAGTCCCTGCTCCTCGTGGCAGAGTTCAGAGATGTTCACTGTACTGCGTGTTGACCATTTTGGAACTCAGAATGGTGGTTCAGTGGTCCAACCACATGCTGTTCGACATGGTGCGATCAACATCCCACTGTTACTTTGATGTTACTTGAATTCTTTCTTGCTCCACCATGGGGAAGCCAGAAACAGGAGCGTGAAGCGGCGCACTCGTGCGGGACGGCATTTTTGTCTCGTAGCTTGCCCGGGAGACGTGCTTGTTCTGATGGGGATTGGCGGCCCGCCTCAGCAACATAAACAGATTCTGGCCGTGATCGGATTAGCCTGGATCATCCATGGAACGTGAAGGACGAGTCACTGAGGGATGAGAACAGATTGACAGACCACCATGGAATTGCCACTGCAGATCAAAGCAGCCCTCAGAAGCAGAACACCTCAGAAAACAATACACTACAACTGCTCAAGAGATTTTCAGAAAAAGAGTAGTCCACCCGTCCACCCTGTCCTGAGTGCGGCCCCTTCGCTTGCTCGCCGGCCGATGATTGCCATGTCCAAAGCGGAGTGACCTGATGCGTCACTGAGATGCCGGCACATCCCTTCCAATGGACAAGGTCTAGCTGGCTAGTGACTTTGGGTTGAGGAATCCAGGAAGACATCAGGGTTGATCGTTCCGCCATCGATGAAAATAGTGATGAAAAGAATATTCAACGAGTTGGCTAGGTCAGTTGATAGACGGCGATTGCTCTCAACTGAGGTTTAAAAACTTGTCGGAGGGTCGTCTTTGCATGGAGCCGAACACATGACATGCGATTTGGCATGCTAGTGATGCTGATCACTCCAGCAAATAATCCTTGGTGTTTCCTCCGCCAGGTTGAAGAACTCCGGGAATGTCTCCGTGTCCCCTCGTGCGGGCCATACCATCACCCTGAGTTTCCTGGCTTTGCTTCGAAGGGATGTGATTTTTGGCCTTCCTGTTCTGGTGGAAGACGTTAGCACTATTCTTTCGCCTTCCTGGTTTCGCAAACTTCTGAGGTTCTGTGGGCTTTCTGCTCTATGGCGGCATGGATGGCCGCCGGAACGATCAAGGGAATCCGGCACCGACGCTCTCTGCACCGGGTCGCTGCCGGCGTCGCGGACGGTCGGCGATCGTGGTGGTTGTGGGGCAGTCAGTTCCGAGCAAAAAGACAGGACCATGGGATCAACAGCAGTAAGGAGGGCAGATAGGACCGCAAGAAGTTGGGCTTGGAGTTTGGAGCTTTTTGGCCGGACTTGGGGACTTGGTTTGGTTGTTGAATCGTTGAAGCACTGCAAGTGGTTGGGCAAGTGGTTGGGTTTTGTTGGGTTTCCGCTTGTGTGGTGGAATGTGTTCAAAAGCATTCAATTGATATCAATTGATCATGGCTGCATGGTTACAGGCTTTGACAAGACAGAAAAGCAAACATGGACTAACTAGGCCCACTAGGCCCCAAAAAGGCGATCAACGGATCCTCCATTGGCTAAGATGACTCCACTCCATCCTTTCATATCCTGACTCCGAGTGCGCTCCTCATCACTCCGATCTGCAAGGAACAGCGATCTCTACTTGCTGAAAGTTGGAGGCAAAACCTTCCAGTGCCTTGGAGTCTTCGTCGCTCCGCTACCACACCAACGCGGCGTCTGATGCAGAGCCAAACAGAAAACACCAACGTCCAAAGTCTGGAATGCCTCATGGTTTCGGCACCTCTCGTTGCAGAAGTCAGCCGGCAAAAGGGTCCGCCGTCCGATCCGTCCAGAAGCCGAGCTGTGAACACCGTACAGCGAGATGTGAAAGCGGCGACCTGATCCGACGTGGAATAGCTTTGAAGGTGTATATATATAATATATATGTTAATATTTATTGGTCAAATAATTCTTATAGCCCTGGAAGATTACCACGGACCCTGAAGATCACGGTTGTGAAGGAAAACCCGTCTAAACGAGGGTGCCATTCTCAGGGTCTATGCTAGTTTTCGGGAGTGTAATAGTTGACACTTTCTTCCGATAGAGCCTCCCAAACAAATTGTGGTGGATATGCACGGGAGAAGAGGGGTTGGCTTGTGCCCCATGCAGCCGGATTTTGCTCTCCCAGGACAATATTAATATAATCGATATGTCTGTGAAGTTTATATACCCGTTGCGGATTCCTGCCGGGAATAGAGGCAACTGTGACCAAGGTATATATATATATATAGACTCTAGACCTTTTTGAGCGGGTATTGCACGGATTTTGCTATATGTGCAACTATTTGTATACAGAATGCAGATGTCAAATGTCGGAAGCTTTTCAAGTGGTGAAATCACTTGAAGGGCGTTGATACTGTAGCGAGTAACGGCTGTAACTCCGCTCCACGGTGAAGACACCCACCCCAGGCACTGGCCAAAGGGAGGCCTCACAGGATCGACCTGCATGTGACCACCTCTGTGGTGGGGCCTTTTGCCCGATGTACCGTTTATTTATTTCATGTTCCAGTGTTCATTTCATACCATGTGGATTTACTGTATGTATTTCTATCTAGATGTTTCTATACTACCGTATATATTTCCATATATGTCCTATGTACAGGAATTTGTTTCTTACTGTTCACGCATGTTGATGTTTGTCCACCTTACATTCCCACAGCTAGATCCCTCACCTCCTTTACTTGCTTCAGCAACCCTTCGCCAACTTGTCCAAGGTGGGAGCAGGTGGAGGTCGACCCAGGGTCTCAACTGCCTCCTGCTCGGACACTGCATACTGCCTTGGCCATCAGCCAAGATGAGGCGGATGTGGCGGGCTGACAACATCCACGAACACGCCCGGGAAGAGACCCACATGGAACCAACAGACCTTTGGAAGGCGATGGCGATGTTCGTCTACAACCCGACAGTGTTTTTTCAGGGGTTGCATGTAGGTCTCGGAACCAGGGTCCTTTTGCGAACAAAACGTGCCCACGGGACTTGCATATGATTCCTGGGTGGATCATTTCGAAGAGAGAGCCTAACACTGCGCAGATACCCAACAACTGGCTGCAACCCTGCAGTCAGTTGGTCCAAACTTGATGCACCCCTTGATGCACCCCAAACCCACCCGGCAGATGATCACACGATCGAACCTAACCAACTGGGTCGCTACGATCGAACCATTGAGTTCGCCGGCGTGGACGCGAGGTCTTTGTGTTTGGAGGCATTCACTCCGCTACTCCGGACCGCGTGCAGTCGTTGCAGGGAGAGGAAGGGTGGTGAGGGTCATTTCTAGGGAGGCAGCTCGGATCCCATGTATCTATATAGACCTTATAATGCCATACATGTAAACTTAACATAACTTAACTATATTAATACACACACATGTATATATATATATACATACACACACCAGCGCCCTCCGACTGTAACAGGTCTCCTTTGGAGGCTGAAATGAAGACAAGCGAACTGATTTCGTGGGATGTTCAGTATATGTTCGATGCTTTTGCTGGATTGATATCGGAGCAGAACGATATATTCTGAGAGTTCCCGACGTGACCATTCAATTGAAAGTCGTTATATTATATAGTTGATTGTTTGGTCTTTCAGCATGCTGGTGTTGAAGTCACGGTGGTGCTGGCGGTCAGCTGACACTGTCTTTTGGGGGTTGGTTTTCTTTGCGGCCTTGGTTTTGCCACTGTGAACCAGCGTGTCGCATCCTCGCGTGCAAGAAGGATCGGAATCGGACGAGCATGACGGTCGGATGACTGACGGTCGGTGACTATAGACACCGCTATTTCTGCGATGTCTACTTCCTGTATAGAGAATTAACATGTACGGTAGAGTAGTTTCTTCTGTATTTGAAACCACTATAGCTGTTGTGGTACCTGGATCGGCACATTCACATGTGAGCCACTTCCAAAGGTAAATGAGGGCACCTGTAGGTCTCCGGCTTCACCCTGCCCAACTCAGCATTCACTGAGGAGCCCCCCAAGCTTCCCCAAGTGCCCGATCCTTTGTTTGGTGCGATGCCGGCCGCCCAGGTGTTGAACGATGGTTGGATCCTGGACACTGGCTGCTATGAATGGAAGCATGTGGGTTTCCTGGCGGAATACGGCGGAAATACGGTGCCTACAGGGCACTCACTGCCCACTGCGTGAGTGCCCTTAGTCTTCTGGGGAATAGATTAATATATATATATATATGTGTGTGTGTGTGTTAGTTTTTTCTCCGCCTTCTGAACAGCAAATCCAAGGCTTCAAGACGCAATCCGAAGATGTCAAGAGTTCGCATTGGATGCTTGGAACGTCCACCGTGGGCCGCGTGTGCTTCTGGCTGAAACAAGAGGTACTCCAGTGATATCAAGAATGAGAACTGCCCGGCACAGTGGTGTGATTTTCCCTCTCTGCTAGGGTTGGACTGTGATTTTCTATGTGTTCGTTGTTGGGAGTGTATTCTGGTAGAGACCACAGGTGGATAATTAACTCAAACGAATAGATGCATTTACATTAGATTGTGCAGAACATGCAAATAGATTGTCAGGACTTGGGGCGAAGCTGCATGGCATGTGGTCAAGGATTCACCAATGACTACCCAAGTAAAGAGACTGACATGGAAGATCATAACGCTGAAAGCTCAGCCGGGAAATAAAGACAAAACACACACATGTTCCTCGACAAGAAAAGGTCCATCAAATCAATACTAATCACTTGAAGAGAAACGATCAACGATCAACGAGTAGGTCTGACGAGGAACGGTGGGTGGCGCATGGTGGCGCATCGCCATGTCTCAAAAGAAGTTGCAAAAGTTGAGACAGGCAAGGGGGTGGTAGATCACCGGAAAAGCTCCGGTCGTTGGGAGAGAGCTGGAAATGGGGCACCATGGGGCAAGCGGCAGAACTGCAGATCTAATTGTTTTAAGCCATTTTAAGCTAAACAGGCATATAGATCGATGTAACACAGTAAACAGACAACCTGAAGAATGACTTTAATGAGCTAGACACCAATCGAGACAAATGATTACGAGGTCTGGGGGGGGTGGCCCGAGAACGTACCACGTAAACTCGAAATTAGGTGGGGGAGAGGGGTGCGCGGAAGTAAGGTTTTTGAGGTTGAGTTTTTTGTGATTTGAGGGGGTGGTGATGCAAGAAATGCAATTCGCATCATTTGCATCATCTGAATGGTAAGGTGTAGGATGTGTTGTAGCTTCGTGCAGCTGTGAATGCATAACCTTCTTACGCACCTATATAAGTTCAAAGCATTAATGAGTCTTCAAATCCGTGGATTGCTGCAAGTTTCTCAAGGTTATCTAGCGGTTGACGGAAAGGGAAATTGAAGTGCTATACCCGGCAACTGAATTGTATACCGCGCGCGCGCCTAAATCAAGGGCAGACCGGGAGCCAGCAAGGCGCGCGCGCGCGCGGACCCAGGGTAGGTAAATTGAAGTGCGATACCTGGCAACAGAATTAATTGTAGCTACCCTGGGTCCGTGTACGTGCTATGTTGCTATACCTTTTACACACCTATATAAGTTCAAAGCAGTCAAAGCATGAATGAGACTTCAAAGTTGTTGGCTTCTGTGCGTTTCTAAAGGTGACGGAAAGGCAACTTGAAGTGCTATACCTGGCAACTGCCTTGTAGCTGCCCTGGGTCTGCGCGCGCGCGCGCCTAAATCTAGGGCAGACCGGGAGCCAGCAAGGCGCGCGCGCGCGCGGACCCAGGGTAGCGGACCCAGGGTAGCTACCACTGCACTTTTACTATCTGGCTTCACACCGTGCTCGTGGACAAAAAACGCAGGCTTTCGTTTTGCAGCTTCTCAGGTAGCAAGTAATTTCAGTATGGACCATTCCGGGCGAGAGAGAGAGAGAGAGAGAGCGCGCGAGAGCAAGCGAGCGAGGGGAAATTATTTGTGTGTTTCCGATGGTGTTTATAACTAGCGAGTGTTGGTACGTCACTTTCCTTTCTAAACACGTAGACTATGATTCAATCACTGCCAACTTTCCTGCCGATTCTCGTGAACCCCACGTGTTTTCAGGTTCACTGGACACGACCGGACACGACGTCGTGTCCGAGGAAGCGCTTGTCGGGGAAGATTTTGGAGCACCCCTACGTGGCCGCGCAAGCGGAGGTCATCGGACAAGGCGAGAGTCGCGTCGATTCCACGGGGAGAAGCCATGGCTCGAGCCATGGACGGCCGTGGGATGTGTGCAGTCTACTTCAGTGCAGGAGCTTTCCGGAGAGACTAAGCCAAGATGTTGGTTTTGTCCTGATTTCATGCTGGTGAAGTCGTAGAAAACGCATGTCATAGTTGGACATGGGATGATGCAGTTAGACATGGACGTTTGTGTGTCGGTACAGGTTAAAGGCGGCTCCATGACTTTGTCAATCTTTGTCACTAGGTGAGATGGAGTTGGCCAAGGTAATGTTGTGCCACTAGCACTAGAATTAGAATACTGGTGGCTATACTGATCAGAGCTCCAAAAAAACTGGTGTCCCCAGGACTGCTTACAGTATATAAGCCGTCTGGACACTTCGGCTCCCATGTAGACTCTTGAGTAATAGACAAATGAGAGTCTGTAGACTCTTGAGTAATAGAGTCGTGAGAAATAGACTCATCAATTGATGATGATTTGATCTACAATCACACTTCCGAATCGCTCCTCGATGCTAAGCAGGAGCCCCTGCATTGAGACACGGCCCACGTAGGGATGTTTGTCTACTATAGAGTAGGGAGACCCAAACTAACGTAGAACGTTGGTGAATACACCCCCTACCAGAACAGTTTTACATCTCCAGCAATTATGGGTGGGTTCATTCCCCAACTTGAATTGAGTAGCAAAAGGGGAAATTTCAGGCTTCGTGTTTGGCCTGCCTGGGAGCCGGTTTTCAACTCATGCCCAACCACCTCCACAAGTCACAGCGACACAGATTCCGTGGGAAGAGCTTTGAGCATCCACCAGCAGGAACTTGTGCCATCTACAGTACATGTCGAGGAAGGAAACTCTCGTATACCATCCAAAGACGACATGACGACTTTTGTTGTGCATACACTTGGACATCCATGAAGTTCATGCTCCAGCCGTTCTTCTTTTTCAATGAGAAAAAACAAACAAACAGCTTTTGCCGCCGACAATTTAAAAACAAAGCAGCTTTTCGACAAAACAAAAACATCTTTTGACTACTTAAAGATGCTAAACCCAAAGCGCCACCTCGCTGTTTCGCCGCCGAGGCATGCGCCGGAACACCGGCACACGCCGCATCAGCGGCATGGCGCAGACCGCGCGGAGCGCGGTGAGCGGGCTGAACTTCGAGACCCTGGCGCTGGCGGCATCCAAGGCGGGACGATGAGCCTGGGGTTGGCCTCGGCTTGGCTTTTCAGGTCCTTATGGCCTCACCCCTCCTAACTAAATGGATATGGGGTGGGACCTAGGTCAGGTAGTGGATATGTCCTCACAAGGCCTGGTGATGTATAACAAGATAAGGATTTGGTTGGTTTCCCCCGCTCCGGGTTCTGCTGCCCTAACCTGGGGAAGACGTTTTAAGTATACAGTATGCCTCCCCCAGATTCCTTAAGCAAATCATAGTAAAATCCAATTGATGGGTGCGGGTCACAACCTATCGGTGGATCCAAACGAGACCTTTCGCGCTCGCTGGAAAGCGCTTTCAGAGCGTGTAAATTGCGATGCCAGAGTCTGGCGGGCCTTTCGTTTGAACAGGTGTCCTTACTAGGTGTCAGTGTGTATAAGATTTTACATTTTTCATTTTGTTTGGAAACAACACTGAGGTGGCCATGTCATGTCATACATCCAAGACTTGACATGGTTTTGTATATATAAGGATACTCATGGATACCCGAATGAGTGCTACCATCCCAGGAAGGATCATTCAACCGGCATTCTTCGACGAGGCCGTGCGTTTTTTGGTCTCAAGGTGCTCGGCCCATCCGCGCCAGGCCGTCGTGGGCGCTTCGATGAGCATTGGCGGCGAATCGGGCGGCGACGGAGGGTCTTCGAGCCCCTTGGGCGAAGGAAAGGACGCTGGTGACCGGAAGATGGGGTCAAGCTTGTGCATTTTTACTGATTATTGTTTATTCCGTTTTCAAGCACGAGGAACATGCTTCAAGTGGAGGGTCTTGCAAAGGAGGATGTGCCAACACAAACGGTAAGAATCGCACATTTGTTTCAGGATGGTTCACATTGAGCTCGCGGGAGGTGCGCATTTTGAGTTTCCATTTTGCAGCCACTTGCAGCCTTTTGCAAATGGCTGCCCAAGCAAGTGGCTGCCAAGTGGCTACTTCTGTCCGGAGAATATCATGATTTCTCCGCACGCAGCTCTGGAGAAAACCAAGATTTCTGCAATGCTGTTCTGCGAAGAAATTCCGGTTTTCTCCAGAGCTGCGCGCGGAGAAATCAAGAAATAATCCAAGACTTTTCCGATAATAAATTCCAAACTTCTGCAGAGCTAGCGACGAAGAAATCTTGCAGTTTTTACATAAAGAACTCAAAGTGCACGTGTTGAAGTTTACTTGCTTGAGGGACAAGTGGCTGCAAGTGGCTGCCTGAAAGTGGTTGCAAAACCAAAATTCAAAATGTACGTCATTTGCTCGCTCTCTGTTCTTTCAAGTCTTTTCTTAGTTCGGACAGATGAAGTGAGCCACTTGTCGAGCATGGGGTGGTGTAGAAATTGAAGGGGTGCATGATTCATGAGCCCTTTGGCCACACGATATCTTGTGCGTAGTTTGATTCCTGTAGTCACAAAGGCACCGGGGGAAACCACGGCCACGGACAGAGAAACTTTTGAATAGCCGGGCGTGTCCGCACGCCCCTGTCACCGGTGAGAACGTCGGTGACGCCGGTGATGGCCACGGTGGGTCTCGTTCGTTTCATCAGAAATGGACGGACAAGATGAGGTAGGGCCAGGGGCGAAGACTCAACAATACAAACCGTGCAGGGTGTGTCCCAGCAAACCAGTAGTCTGTAAAGGATTCGGAAATATTTAAGTTTTTGTTTGCCGTGTAAGGTTGATCAGATGCTGAAACACCTTATGTAGTGCATATGAAAGCTGAGTTAGGCCTTAATTTTGAAGCAGCAAAAAATGTGTTCTGTTTAAAGTGGTGTCCTTTTGGGTTTAGGGTGACAGAAAAACCACCTGGGCAGGAATATCACATGAAACTTGAGGAAAATCCTGGAAGAAGTTCCTGGCAAAGCAGATGACGTCCAGCGTGAAAGCGGGTGACTTGGAGTGGTTAGCGTGCAGATGGTTTGCCTAAGAAACCCTGCATGCCTTCAGTTTGACCAGTCGTAGAACGGTTTTGTAGCTGTAGAAACCTTAGCGCAACAATGGTTCCTTGGTAAAAGAAGGCCATTCAATCAATGGTGGTTGGAATCCTACAGGGAAACCTTTCAGCATCCCGTGGCGGGAAGGCGCAGGCTGCGGCAGATGTTCTTAGCCAATCCGCACCCAGGATGCGGCTGACCTTCTGGTGCAGGAAGTCTGTCGTCCATCCAAGATCCAAGCAAAAAGGTCACCGGATGGTCCAACAATGAAGTTGGTGGAGAAACAGAAGTGGAGGAGAACATCTATTTTAAGAGAAGTGTCACTTCTCTACTCAGACAGTTTGTGGAGGAGATGTTCTTCATATGGAGACATGGGCCATCAGAGTCAGAGACACATTGCTGCCTAGCAGATCCCCTTTTTGCTTTGCAGCTTCCAAGGGTTCCCAGCAGAGAAAGGACCAACACTCGACTCAACTCTATTCTTTTGGTTGCGCCGGGCTATGAAGATGTTGAAATCTGTCTCGTTAGGTCGCCGTGTCTGGTCCCCCGCCCAGTACAGGCAACAAAGAGAAGCAAAGTAGGCGGGTGAGGGCGGGCGGCGTGGAGTGCGGGAGGCCTTTGGACCGTGCGTTTGGACGGCTTCAGATTGGCCAAGCACGGATCGAAGGCAAGCCCCTTACCATCCCCTTTCTACCTTCCTAACTGGAGCAACCAGAATGACCAGGTGATGCGATTATGGACGATTCACTGGTGTCGATCTACAAACGCCACCCAACCAAACCTGTCACATTTTGCGTGGCTCACTTGTCGATGCTTTTTCTCGTGCCAGGACGCGTTTCCAGCCCAAAGACGAGGCGGGATTAGTGAACTTCGAGGAGGAACAGTTTTTGGAAGATCCTTGGACCAAGAATTCAAGTGAATTCGCTGACTTTTGTCGGGTGGAATGCTCTGAAATCATTTGGCCAAAAAACCCTTTGCAGGCGTGTAAGCGTCTAGAATTCTATAAACTCCACCCAGTTCCAAACATAACAAGCTTCAGGATTGTTTCACAACTCCGCTACCAGTTCTTTGGGTGGAAATTCCGGCATTTCGCTGCTAGTTCGTTGTCGGAAACGACGAGCTTTCTTCCCCATATTTCCCCATCCATGAAGTAAGTCCACCCCCCCCATGAATCAATGAATCGGGTCCATGTTCAGATGCCCACCAACGTGACCCCTCCGGCCAAGACTTCAGCCGTCTTCAACCGTTGGAGACGGCGCAGTCTACGGCCCCGCGGTTGTGAGTCAACCGATGTACGGACGTCGCATGGAAGTGGATGGCACCCCGCTTGTTTGGCAGTCGGAAAAGGGTCAAACCCGAAATCGGGGCCGTTTGTCCATCCACTTTCCATATGTGTGTTCCAGGCAGTGTCAAAGTTTGCTCACGACACGGACCAATCTTTTGCCACTTGAACTGTTTGAAATGCGGTGATTCGCCTTTTGGACGCCCACTGCGCCCTCAGCTCGATCACTATTTTAGTGCAGACGGGCTTGAAAACACACAGACACCAGGCGTTTGGCACGAGTTTTTTGCAAGAACACCCAATACGGAGGACGAAAGGGGAGTGTCCACGCGTGTGCCCTGGATTCCGAGGACATTCTGACAATGGTATGTGCCACAGCTCAAGGTGAGACGCATCCGGCAGGAGTCTCTCAACAGGAACACACCGAGAGTTTACATAGGATGGTCGACACCAACAGCCAATCCATTTTTCCCAAGATTATGCTGATCAATGATCAAGGCCTTACACCTCCAAGTACCTCCTCAGAAGGTATTTGGACCCTCCAAACCCACCCCAAACACCTTCTCAGAAGGAACTTGGAGGCCTAGGGAGGTTGGACTGCATTAAATTTACCAGCGGCCCTTGGCGTGCGGGGAGAGGTTTTCTCGGCGTTTTGTTTTTGGATGCGCAGGGAACGAGGACGAGGATGCCAGCAAAGGACCCGCGCCACGTGGCAATCATAGCAGCTTGGCCGTGATCTACCACCTCAACTGTTTTACGCAAACTCCACCAATGAACATCGGTATACAGTGGCAGTTAACTGTGCTGCGCCCTGCCCAACTGCGGGTCCAGCAGTGCATCGTCCTTCCTCAGCGTGTCCCGGGACGGCTGCGTTGTAGCCAGACGCTGCCGAGAGAGAGAGAGAGAGGGAGAGAGAGTGAGTGACAGTTGACAGTCAACAGACAGAGAGAGGGAGAGAGGGCGCCAACTCTTTCGATGGTGTCCTTCCGCCAAACCCAAGACCGGGCCGAGGTACTTGCCTCTATGAGAATACCATCATTCTTTTCGGTGGGCATGGTGGCTTTGGCTACCAGCGGACGCTGGGCCGCATGGACCCGCCGAAAACCCCCAAAAGCCGGTTTTCTACACCCAGGGCACCAAATGATCAACTTGGATGCTTGGAGTGCTCTAGACATGTCCGACACATGCTTCCCATTGGCATCCCAACATATCACCACCAGTACCACCATATCAGCTACTTTGGCACCTTGCACGATACGCACCTGGACCATCTAAGGGGTCATGTCATCATGTCGGGCTATCCAACTCTGCTCATGGGCTTCCATGGCGCACCCCTTGGCCCCGTTGGCAAGCCGTTCGTGACAAGAGAATGTAGCTGAGGAAAGCCTTCAACGATGTTTGGGCTTTGAACCTAGATTCATTCCGCCACTTGGCTATTTTCATTTTGGTGGTAGTAGTTTGTATATGTTTGTATAACAACATATTTGTAGCTTTCAAAAGGTTGCCAACAAGTGAACCTATGTTGTGAGCGACACCTGGCAAGCGTGACACGTTTTTGTGTCTTTCTCTTTTTGGGAGGGCCTCCCCTGGAGTGGATTCACGTTCATGACTCATGACACTTTTGCTGGGTGATGGACCCGAGTATAGTAAAGGCAGGTTTGAATCGCCCAGTACTTCTATGTTTGTTTTGGTGGCATGTCCTCTATGTTTTGGTGGCACGGTCCACGTCTCATGGCGGGGTGCACAGTCGAAGTGCACTTCATTGGTCGAGTGTAAAGCTTTGCCTAGTTGAAGCGCAGAGGCGGGAGATGGGAGATCACGTGACCAATCATCAACACAGAGTTGTGTCGACAAATTGGTGGTTTTTGTTAGGCTGAGGCAGACAAAGAAACAGGCTTGGTTTGAGAAATCATTTAAAAAATGCACAGCCGCACAGCTACAAAAGAACCGGTAAAACATTGAGGTCAAGTTTGCAAGGTTTTTTTGTTGACTCAAGAAGCTCTCACAATTGAAGTTAGGACGAGGTGTCCTTGTCACCTGTGTGCCTCAGGGTTCTTGGTAGGACTCGAAGGATTTGCCAAGGCCTGACGTTGGACTTTGTGGATCGGATCAGTTCTTGCAGTTCTTTGTTTGAGCGCTAGGCCATGCTAGGCCCTGTGTTTTTGAGCTGTTTGGGGAGCTAGTTGGATCACTTGTTGCACCATTTTTTTGGTTTTTATAAGTCATTACTGGAGGATACAATGTTATGATATGCTGTTATAATAACTAGAACATTGTTTTCTTTCACTGCTGACAAGCCGTGCACGCAACTAGAACATTCATGCAACTTGTCATGCTTATTCATATTCAATCTACTGCAGGGTGGTTGTTGTACTGCCATGCCATGCCCTCGCAAGAAAGAAAACAAAGAGGAAGTACAGTTTTTTTTTTTTTTTAGATCGTGGTTATATACAAATATGCCGTGATGGGCAATCTGTTTATTGTTAGAGGGACTGGAATTACCGGGACATATCGGAACCCCTAAGAATACAAGTTCTGCTGCATCTGTTCGCGCATATCGGAACTTACGCAGTTCCATCCCAAACTGCTTGACGTTATGGTTCCGAACCCCAACCAAAAAGCGTTCGGAACCTGATGTGGTTTCCAGGTGGGCGGGGGTTGAGAGTGGGGCTGAGGAGCTCCTGTATCCCCACACCTTTGGCCGCTCGAGGTTGGACAGAGCTCCTGTGCCATGGCAACCCTCCGGCACCACGCAGTGGGCATTGTGCTTTCCAAAAGGACCGGACCTCCGTGCCGTTTCTGCCGACTTGGAACGATCCTCGGCGCCTGTCGGACAGGATGGCTTTGTGTATATCTTTGGTGGGTGGAATGGAGAGTCACAGTTCAACGACCTGCAGCTCTACTGCAACGTTTCTCCGATTCGGAGTGTCCGAAGATGACTTCGGCATGCACTGGAAACCACATTCTGTGGGCTGGAGGAAAAATAATACAAAGTCCTGAGAACATACCTATATATATATATAAGTTATATAAGTTATATATATATAGAGATCTATAGCTATGATATACTTCAAGTGATGGCGAGCTTCTTTATTTATTGTATATATTTTGATTATACTATGTTCATCTATGTTTGCTTATTTTCGATTGTTTGCCTATTATGCATACACACCTCCGTGGTCATCAGATCATAGCAGAGTCCCCTCAAGAATCATAAATAATAATGGACGTTGCAGAGAACATGCCATGCCCTGAGCGCACACTTTTCATTTGGGCTTCATGCACCAATGTCGTGTCCCGAAAGTATCAAACCTCGTTTTACTCCGGTTTAGCGTATAGGACAGGTTTAATCATAAGGGCGACAAGGAGGTAGGACGTGTCAATCTCATTTGAGTCTTAACGTTCTACCCTGGTATGACATCATATATATTTGCTGCTTGGTGGAACATCGGCCGTCGAGAGGTTCATGCTGGACGTGGAGAATAAGGACTGGTCGGAAGCTTGGCCTCCTCAGTGTTCGGGTTGGCCGGGTGGTTCGGCAGGAAGACAGGGAATGCAACGCAGGACCTGACAGCCTTGAAAAAGAGGCTGCTTAGCTGAGACGTGTTCACTCTGGTGGGTGATGCAGTGCTCTGAGTAATTTGTGGGGTTGCTCAACTCTTTCCACCAGTTTTGAATTTGCCTGTGTTGGACATTGTTGGACATCCTCAATGACGAATGAATTTTCCCATGTCCAGATGGGATTCCAAACATTGAAGGGCTACAACATTTGCCAACATTGGATGAAACATGATGAATTCTTTTTAGAGAACATCTTAACAACATGTTACAAAGCCGGAAGAACATGATACAACCCAGCCATAAACTATCATATAATTATATATACTCCTTCCCGGTTCTGAAAACAATTCTCCGTCCCGGCTGGACCGTTTTTTCCGTGGCTGGACCGAGCTCTGAGGATGTGGACCTCAACTGGAGCGTGCCGCGCTGGAACATGGCGGTCCAGCTCGTCGAGGTGATCCGAATCGGCGGAGTGGAAGATCCATTTCCATGGCGTATGTGTGTGTGTGTGTGCGTCCTTTTTCTTGGTCTTTTTGGGCCGTTCGTTTTGCCGACATGGAGAGATGGTAAAGGCATGTAATATCATGTATAATTAAAGGCCAAAGCAGACGGAAGAGTGGATCCTCAATGAAAGTATATTCGATGCCGAGTATGTATTGTCCTGGATTGCCCTGGTTTCCAGTATGATTCGATATCGGAATAAACTGGGATGCAATGTGCCCAGATTCTTGCTTGCTTGACAAGCCGAGAAACGTCCAGCTTGGCCAGACAGGCACGACGGTCGACCTGAAATTACACGTCAACTGAGATGAACTGAAATAATGTAGACTCTTGATTAATAAACCCCCCATGTGAAGAGAATGTTTCATTTCAAGTGGGTGCTTTATTCATCAAGAGTCTAGATTAGGCGACCATGAAGCAGAGCTTTTGGGAGCGAACCAGATGAAGTACTGGTCACATCAAAAGCCGTTCCGCAAATAAACCAACACCCTGCCGAATGGATGTTCCAGGCGTTGTCTCGTTTTGGTGTGTGTTGGTGTGTGTCAACCACCGGCGCCACCGGTGACACACCGGTACCGTCTCGCAGGCGATCCCTTCGTGGCGTGTCTTCGTCTTCGGCGGCTCGGCGGACCGCCACGGCGAGGGGCGGACCATGGGCAGCTACGCCGCTTGGTGGACTGTTCTGACGTGATGGGTGGGCAGGTGGGTAGGTGGGTGGGTAGGTGGGTACTTGCAGGTGTGCGAGCTCTTGTGAGCTCTCGAACCTTCCTCCTCGAAGCTTCCTCCCAGGATCGCGAGCTGGGAGTCTTAGACTTGGGCGACGAGCGTTCCTGGCTCTCGCTCTCTCCTGAGCGTGCGAAGCTCGATGGCGCTTCGAGCCGACCGGACAAGCCATTGGATCGACCCCCCCCCCGGGGGCACACGGGCCTTTTGTACGATGCAGAGGAGAGACCGTCGTGGTCCGTTGGGACGAGTGCATCCACGGTCCGCTGTGGCAGGAGATAGAAGCCTTAGGGGATTGAACTCACATCCAACAGGATTAACAATTGATTCTCAACTCGATATGAAGATATTATATATCGCAAGTAAGTCTCAAGATTCATCGACATGTGTTGCATTCCCTGCAACAAACCATGGAAGTGGTAAACCAGTTGTTTGCAGAACATGTTCAACTGGCCATGCCATCCACGTAACCATGATGTACCATGATTACTTCAATGTAGATCTCACATGGCACCCCACTCGCTCAGCTGGCAGGAGAGTCGCTTGATCTTGTACGGAGGCTGGGCCAACAAGTGGTTGGACGACTGCTGGCAGATCGACGTCTCCTCCATTGTAGGCCGGGCAGGGCAGGATTGGTCCGGGGTGTGCCAGACCAGTGGGTATGCAACCAGACTGCGCGGAAATGGAGATGGTTGCTATACCAGATGCTTTACACAACGCAAAGATTAACATAGAACCTGAAAACCGCTGGGTTGTAGAGGAAAACAGTCTTCTACAGGTCCATTGTGAGGTTCCATGTAAATCTTCCTGGTTGCACCACTACTTACAATACCTTTGGGCCATCATGTGGTCTGGAAGACCGCTCATGGCAGGTTCCCAGGTTGCAGCAAAGCTCAATAACAACACCAGAGTGTTACAAGAAGACCAAGGCCAGCGCACCTTACAGTTGCAATGGTGGCAAATTTCCGCTGGGCAAAAACATGCAAAAACCCATCACAGTCCAAATATGCAAATATGTCCAAATGGCACTTCAAGCTGGAGCTTAGCATCGCCTTCTCGCATGTGGTTAAACTCGATCGGTGAAGGTAATGGATCGAGAGCGAGAGGGGGGGGAGAGGGAGAGGGAGTCCGAATGGTACTTGTGCATTCCCTTGTTGTTCCGTTGGCTCGACTTAAGCCCCTGGGCTTCGACTGAAGCCCCGGATGGTGAGGACCGCCATATGCCATCGTGAAGGTCGAGCCATCCTTGGGGCCGGTTTCTGGAAGCCAGACTCTTGGGCCCTTCAAGTCTTTCCGGAGTGGAGCGCTTGCTGTTTTCGGTCATGTCGATGTTTTTTGGTATGTTTTTGTTGTGTTGGGCTGCAAACAGACAGTTTGAGGGATGTTTTTTGAGGTTGCTTTAGCATTGATCGCATCCATGCCTTTCTTTGAAGGGTGTTAAGATGTAAGATATGACATGATATGCCCAGAACTGGCAGCGATGATCCACCCTTTGTTGGAGGGAACATGAGTCAAATCTTGGACTTCCAGGGCCGACTCTATGGAAGGAAATGTCCACCTTCAATCCATCCACTGGAACGGCGAACTGGCGAACGAACGTCGGGTCAGACGGCTCCTGGGTTTGATCAGTCTCTGACAATGGTCCCGAGAGCGGCATCCCGCAGCATCCTGCTGGGGGGTGTCCTATGAAACTGCAACAGTATATTGAGTGGTTTCAGAGTAGATATATAGCACAAAGTTTGTGCCATCAAACCAACAAATGTCGTTTAGAAAGGGGGTAACCTTTCAGGATTGTGCCATCTACTCTGAAACCACTGCATCACCTTTTTAGAGAAAGGCCCTTACTAATCATCAGTTATTCCGGGCATGGGAGATACCCGACCTTCCAGCATCCCCACGGGCCCCAACTGAGCAGCTTCTTTTCGCCGAGTGCCGTGCCGGGGCTCGTCAATGAGGAAAGTGCAGATCTTCGGTGTGGGCTTCCTCTCAGTACCTGGTGTGGCGGTGATACGCTTCACTGGGGGAAATGGGAATCCCGGAGGCAAAGTCGACTGGAAGTTTTTGAAGGACAAAGTGACAAAGTATCAAAAAGTGATGAATCTCGCATATCAAGCCCAAACACTCCATGGGACTGCCATATATGCCTACAACCCCCCAAACCACCCCAACTGATCGGCATACATGGAGTGTTTGGGAAGGACGTGACTTAGGTTCAGATGGTTCACGAACTCCGCACTGGGTTCCAATCTCGGGTGGCCCAGTGATTCCAAGCACCCGCTCTTTCTAGAGGAGCCGCAAGTCTTTTCCGGGAGCCATGTTCCCCGGTTCCGCCTGCGATAGTTCCAACCCCTGCGGACGTCCCGCGTAACGTCGCGGCCACTCGGCCGGGCGGGCGACGGACCACTCCGCATCACTCCGGACGGCTGCTCGGTCCACTCCTCAGGAAGAGCGTCGAAGCGCAAGGGACGATCTTGGATGATGAGCTGGTGGAGTGTCTCACGCCCAAGGCCCCATTCTCTCGCTCGGTGGTTTGTTTTTTCGCCGATGTCGCCAATCTGGAAGATCGACGGGGTGGAGGCGTCCAAGGGGGAGGGCGTTTCAGGATCGGTTTTGAGACATACCACTGAGCCATCATGAATGGGATAGTGGCCACAAGCCTGGCCAACATGGCCATGTAATAGTACTTGCTGCAGCAGTCCCCAGATAAGACTTAGACAAGTGCACAGATCATTAAGACTTGACTCGACCAGACCAAGTAGGTCTATGTTTTGGTGGGGCAAGGAACTAGAAATGCATAGAAATGCTATACTGCTCCTTGGGATGACGTCCTCCCCGTTGGAGGCGACTTCCTGTCACGTACTTGCCAAGTCCAGTTTTGTTGGTACTTTTTGTACTGTAAAATAAAAGCCCCGAGGGACATCTCACAAATGGCAAAACCCGATGATTTACGAACGAACAACGCACGGACTTCTTAGGAACGACGTGGGACGCATGTTTGGGACGCATGTTTATAAAGCATGTTCTGCATCCCATCGATGTCACGCCGACGATGGGGCCCCCATCATTGTGAACCACACGCCTCCTGTCCTCGGTTCTGTCCTCCTCGCAGAGGCAGAGGGAATTGGACCCCGAAGCTGTGAAGTGCGAATTGCCATCGGCGTGAAGGACTTCACCACCACGATGTCACTCAGATGAGTCATAGCAGGAAATGAGCTCCTGCACCTAGATGGCTTCAGGGAACAGAGGAAGATGACGTTTTTCTGTTCTACATCATCTGGGCTTTTGCGTGGGAACAGCTGGGCTTTTGCGTGGGAACAGCGGGAACCAAAAGCATTGCAACTTCATGTTCAGGACGACCTGAACATCGGCACAATTCCCTCCAAAAACCAACTGGCTCCGGAAGAGAACTTCCCAGCTTCTATGACCACCTCCTTTGTCAGTGACCACCTGGAGGTGCCCGTGATGTTCCAAAAGGACAGTCCTTGGCAAAAGTCACCCGTTGCTTCGCAAGATCTTCGCGAAGTTGACAGACACTGCATGGGACTGGAAGATTTACCTAAGAGGTTGACCCCAGAAACCACCCAACTGATCGGCAGTTACAATGACCGTCTCATGCAGTATTTGGGACTGTTTTGACTACAGTACCCTGCAGTGAAGGCATGCTGCATGCCAGACCCACAGACCCTGTCCACAGGCGCTGGTTCACTTTATAGAGGTGTCAGGTCCTATTTTTGTTTCTTTCTTGTGATCTCAATTCAAAGCCACGAGTTCATTCTCAAAGAGCACAGGCACAGCTCAACACTTTGTTAGATCAGGTCCTTTTTTTTGTTTCTTTCTTGTGACTCATTCTAAACCCACGCTTTCCTTCACCAAGAACCACTTCGTGTCCTCACGGCCGTTGAATACGGCCGAGCGGGACCGAGGGCGGAGTTCCAGTACTTCATGAATACAGTGCCAGAGAGGTCGTTGTGCTACGGCCCTGGGCTACTCATGGAGCAGCAAGCGGAGTCCACGACACGCTTCCGGATACAAGCCAGGCCGCTGAAACACCGACCGAGTCAAGTCACCGGTATTAATTAGGGACTGGAACCAGTCACGGGTATCAATCTGGTTTGAGGCACTTGCTTGCATGACTCTTCCATACTCTTCCACTTACTCTTCCCAACTTTTTGGCCTGTGATCAGTAGGCTTTTCAAGGTGAAAAAGGAGGTGGAAAGGGTACGAAAGTGCAAGCACCATGCAGTCTTGTTCCTCCAGCCAGGAATCAGGCGGGTGACAACCGCAAGTCTGGCAGAGACGAGTGGGTCATACAAGTGCAGCACGTCTATGCTGCTTGGCCAGTCTGACGGCCATGATTTTCAGGCAGCCCCCGCCACACACCTTAAGAGAGGTCGAGAGTCGAGTCTAGACATTGAGTTTCTATGAGGTAGAGTTTCTATGTGTTTTTTGCAAGGAAAACTTGACGTTCTGTTTTGGTAATTAGGTTCTTCCCAATAAGATCCAATAAGGGAGGCTGGGTCCGAGTTGTTCAATCGCTTTAGTGGAAGTGAAGGTCGAAACGCATTGAAGGATTCATTAATTGAGTGCCGCAGGTGATTTTGAAGATCACTCCCCCTCCCATTTCTCCGTACGTACATGCATAAATATATGTCATGTTTATGTTACACCCTACAAGTCCAAAGACCCAGCAAAACTTGGTTCTTTTCCTTCTTGAGTAGTGTCTTTGAATGACCTACTCCAGTTAAATGAGGTCTCAAACACCTGAATACGGTTTTGTTTGCAGACTTCGCTGGCTTCACCACCATGGTCGAGCCTCGCAGGCCGTTCCGCACGCTTTCGCAGACCTCGCTCAGGTGAATGAGAAGGGCAAGGAGTCCCTCCGGGAGCTGCCCCATGAGATCATCGACTTTGACACGGGGCAATACGAGGCGGAGCGGCTTTCTGCGAGGTTGTAGGTCTAATTAGGTCTAGAGACTCCATGTATGGTCGTGTATGGTGCATATATGCTGACAGTGATCCCTGAAACCACCCGGATGTGGGCTTCCATACATGGAGTGTTTGGGGTAGCCCGGTGAAGCTGTAGACCTTGAGAAGAAAAAAGAACTCATGCTTGGTTGCAAGGGAACTTGGCATGTCAGGAGATGCTTGGATGTGGAAATCCAGTCATGAAGGTTAGTACTGCGACCCGGTGGGTGATTGTGGATTCAGATTTCTAATGCCTGCAGCTGGCCCCTACTGCACTTCATTTGCCAGTTCCCAAAGTGACTAAGCTCCCCGAGGCAATCGATTGAGCAAACCATCCCGCCACAGCGGAGCGGGGTTTCAAAGGCTTTCAGGAAAATGACGTCATATTCCGGTCCACCTATTAAAAAAGTCCGTTTTTTAATAGGTACTCGGGATTATTCCTGGATTTGCTGGGATTATTCCTGGATTTACTTAGGGTGATTTTGTTGCCTATGAGTCAACCCCCCCCCTTTGATGGGAATCATGTGTTATTTTCGTCGTGATCGTGGAGTCCGACAGCCAATCCAAGTCTCGCAAGTCTCTATTTCAGCGATGAGGGTTGTACAAGGTCTATTCCTTCCATGCCTTGAAATGCCTCTACTCCTTCTGGCACCCGCTGAAGCTTCGGTCTGAATTCGTGGTGAAGCTGCACCTGCAGCTTCGGTCACCAGGTCAGATACATTCCAGAACCTGGAGATCTCATCATCAGAGTCAGTATGGTGGACGCTGCTCGGACCCAGACGTTCTCCCGGCACGGTGTGAGTAAACCTGGGATCATCCCATGCCAAGTAAGCCATTGACCGAAGAGGAATAGACCCATTGAGCCGCGTTTGCGAAGACCACACCCACTTGGAGCAAATGTTCCACTGCACGGAGGAGCAGGATAAGAATGGAACAGAACAAAAAACAATAAGCATAATAAGATAATTAGCTTGAGCTACCTGAGTTCTCCTTGCTTTAGCAAAAATGTACTAAAAATCAGGATTTGGTGATTTGCATTGATCAAATCCCCCCCTGTGCCGTCGCTGCTTTGGGTCACATTCATCCACCTTTGACGCCGTCATGGACTCCTACCAGGGTTACTTGTGATTCCCTCCTCTCTACTTGAAGTACAAACAAAATAACATGTAATATGTTCTTTCTTTGTCTAACCCAGATACAACAAGGCCAGGTTTTTGGAGGGTATCGGCATTGGAAAACCACCCGTTTAGGGGTCCCAGGGGTCTTTCACTTGAAGGCTCTTTTTCAGGCTTTGGGTTTTGTGGGTTTCTTGTTTGTTTGTTTTTTTGGTGGCAGTTTGCTATGGCTGTCCAAGTTGTTGCCCTTGTTCTTAATGGCTTGTGCCGGCTGTGCTACCAGCAGCTCGACCTGGACTCCCCAACCCGCCGAGGAGCTTGGAAAGCCACGACCGATCCGTGGAAGTCCCTTCAAAGCCTCGAGTATTCAGTACGTCTCGTGGCCGAGCGAAGTCGCGACGCGAGTCCAACCGGCCTGACGCCTGGTGGTGGATTGGGACGACCAGGTGCGAAAAGGTGAGATAAGAGGAGTCCCGGAGTCATTGGAAGTTCTTGGTGGATGAGAACTGACAATTGTCCAAGTGAATGGTTTGTGCTGCTGCTGCCTAGGTGGCCTCGGGGCCACCGCCCCAAGGCCAGAGGTATTGTTTTCCTCACATGGCACTCATAGCAGCGGGCAATCCAAAGGCCCTTCATGGCCAGTGTTTTGTTGTCCAGATGTTCTGTTATGATGTGTGGCTGCTTCTTTGATGATTTGATGCGAACGGACAAGACTCACGTCGTGTCACAGTAAGACTGTCGATTTTCCCACTGGGGAAGAGTCCAAGCCAGCAGGCATGATCAAACACACCGAAAAGTTGCTCGAAAGCGAGGAACATCACGAAGACGAGTTTTTCTTGTGCTTGCTGTGAGGCTTTTCGGGTCGGGATGATTGGTCATTTGCCCAGATGAGTGTGGGTCGAAACCAAACACAACCATGGTATGATAGATGGATACAGATGGCATTATGATGCTTTATGTGATGGCACAGGGTTGGCCCGTTTTGGGGACCAAACTTTTAGCATTGCCCTTTATGGGACATCCCCACCAAACAAGCATTAAAAACACTCTTTGCCGACACGGTCAGAATGTTGACGTCCAAGTCGTCCACCCGTCCACACGGGAGCGGACGACGGATTTGAGGCCAAGAACCGCGCGAATGAATATTTGGGCCCCATCGTCCACAGCTGGCTCTCGCAAACGTTGAAGTCCTTGGAGCTTGGGCGGTCATGCAGACTGACGTGTACTGAGGTCTCAGGATCATTTGTTTGAAAGCTGCTTATAGAAGATCCACGGGAACGATCAGCTTCAGGTAGTTTCCTGTTTGATCCTGCTATGTTTTTTTCCTGTAATTTTGATCAGTTGTCCAATTGCCTATTGTGGCGTGACCCAGAATCTACTTGACGATGGTTTCGATGCTGTAGCCTCATGCAAATACAACAAGAAGAATAGATGTCCACAAGGAGCAACCATAGCCCAGCCTAATTCTGGTCTCAAGGCCTCCACATGGCAAGTTCCGCAAAAATCGGGTGGGTCCAATCACCTTCTTTGCCTGATTCCATTTGATTCCGCCCTTCCTTTGTGGTAGACATGTGGAGTTCAAGGGGGGCGTTCTGCAGCAAGCCGACCCACGGTGCAGTGACAGTCAGTTGAGTGAGGAGGGAGGTGATGACTTGGTCTTGATGGGGTTGGGGTGGCCAAGAACAGGGGATAGGAGAGTGTGTTGTTTCACGCTAGGATGTCGAATACATGTCTCACTTACCTACCGTTTGGCTCAAGGAAAACCAGGTGCGACTTGTTGGTAGTTCTCGGTCGTTTACCTGTATCTACAGAGTGGAAGAGGATGTGCAATGCGAGATTGCCATATGCCAGGCCATCCATGTATGGAATAGTTATGAACAGGTCACATGTACCATCATGTACCCCATGAAAATGACCCTAACATTGCACCCGCGTTCACGCGTCGGTTACGATTCCATCCCATGACCTTTTTGGGCGGCTGAGCTGCGGCTGGGCCCACCTGCTCGACCGAGGATGATTTCTATCGCAGCACCGAGACTGGTCAAGGGGCCAAGTTGAACGAGGAGGATGTGAAGGGACTCATCAAGGCCACCTGGCCGGGCCCGCTTGGGGCCGGTCACGGCATTTGGCCGCGGGGTGCCAAATCGGCATTCTGCTGGGGTCAGGGGAAACATTTGGATCAGCCAGAAGGACTGAGCCACATGGCGAGGGGTTGGCAAAATCTGGACCTTTGGGTTTCAAACCTGCTGAGCATCCGATGAATCTTCACAGAGATGAACGTCCGAAAGTCGATAGGGTTGGAAGAACTGGAGGAAGAGCCAGAGACGGGGACAGGGACACACAACAGATGCAAAAAGCATCAAAAATTAGGAATGTTTGCGTATTTGATATATAGTAACAGTAATATAGGTACATCATGATATATATATATATATCTCCGTGTGTGTGTGTGCGCCAGCTATTCGTATCTATTCACCATCATCCTGGAACATATCCTTTTCGCCTTTGCCATGTCACTTGGAAATCATGTGTGAAAATCCTGGCGCAGGCTAGAGCATTCTGATGCATTCCAAGCTATTGAGTTTGTATATTTATATATATATATATACTTTAGTTATTTGAAACAACAAGTGCTGAGTGCACACACACACATATATATATATAAGCAGTATGATATATACATACACGTAGTATCTCAATGATCATCACCATCATTTCATGGCTTGGTGGGCACTCCATTCCCAACTCCCCCTCCTGCTGCCTGAGCTAGCTCTCCCTACCCTTTTCTCGCGCCACGATAAGTGAGAGGTGATGAATCACATCCAAGACCTCTACAAGAACGAATCTGAGTTGATTCGCCTCCAGGAGCTGCTGCAAAGCCTTGACAAAGCTGTACAGTGGCCTCAGAGTAGATGGCACACATCCCAAGATGTCCGTATTAAAAACATGGGGATTGTGCCATCTACTCTGAAACCACTGTAGCCACCTCCGCGAGCAGCTGCGCCAGTTGTGTCAGCTGCCAGCCGAGCTGGCGAAACATGACTGACCCTGAAATGAATGGGGTGAGGCCGGAGGATTGATGTACCCGGGGTTTGTCTCAGAACGGCTGATGGAGCCGGTTGGAGTATATTACTTATTCTTTGAAGTACTGTATTTGTTTTGAAAAAAAAGCTTGGAACTACAACTGATACAAGGAACAAAACAAGATCCTGCCCTCTATCTATGTAGGTCTCTTTGGTACAGCCATGTGTTTGTCGTAGACTGGTAGGGTCCATCCCTTCTTCCGGACAGGGCTCCATCTCAGTGTGGGAGACTGGCCTGCTGAAATCAGCACCAGCTCTCTGCATCGCTGCTTGTGATGATCCACGATGTGCAGGATTGCATCTATGAGACCTTGGCTCACATCGAGCGTGAAGGAGTACCAGTGGAGAAGCAGTTGAAGAGCTTGAAGAAGGCGAGAAAAGAATTGACATCAAACACCTTCCCTGAAAACCAGCGGTCTACCCCGAACGGCGGCCAATTCACACAGGATTTCCCATATGAACAGATTTGCAACTGAACTAAACGCATCGTTCCTTCATGTATTCAATTGGGCCGGTGATGCTTGATAGACGGGCGGCCCACGATCACTATACAACAGGGCATGATAATTATTGTGACTTAGGCATGTCATGTGAGCATGTGGCCATTGAACCATCCATTAAAGCGTGTTTTTGTTGCTTATTAGTTTGTAGAGGCAAAACATAGAAATCATTCAAGTGGGGCCATGTTCCACTTCTTATTTCAGGGACCCATTTCTTTGCCCTCACATGCTTCAACAGGCCACTGCCGCTTCGGAGCAGTGGGCAGGAGACACGAGACAGTATGAGATGGATGTAAGCCTCAAACGCATGGCGAAGGTATGCGAAGGTGTTCTCCAAATCCTGAGTCCCGCAGTTGGTGTTCTCCAACGCATCCATCGTGCAGTTTGGAAAGACCTCATGTCTTTATTCAACTGCTGGAACTGGTTCACTCAGCAGACTCTTGGGTGTCAGCAGCACATGTGGTTTCTTTTTTGAGCGGTCTGAGCCCGCCCCTCTTCTGTCAACCAGCCGTGGCTTGTGGTGCGGCCGGAGGTGTGCAACGCTTTGGTGCATTTGCGCACCTTGTGCCATTCTACTGAACAGGCCATCCAGCCCATGGTGCAGGCAGGATGGAATGACTATGGCATACTATGACCATAGTATTCAATTCGCGCAATGACGAAAGGTGACGGGGTTGGGGTGTAGTTACCGCAAGCACTCTAATGCTCAATGTGCCGGAATTGATCCTACCTACTGTGCCTATATCGGAACCTGTATAATATGACCACGCTCAGTCTGAGCATCGAAAAACAGGTGAATCCCATTTCGCCATCCATCCCCCTACCCGCCGTCCCAACACCGAGCGCCCTTGATGAAGCCACTTTCGGCTTTTCACATCCGCCGGTGCGCCCTCGCTCCGTGGGACTGGTTGACCGGATCAGGACCTACTCATTGAAGTGAAAAGGGGTACTGCCCGGTGGTTTTGGGGGGCAAGGCACAAGCAGCCGTTTTCGATGTTTCTTCCGCAGTCTATTCAGTGCTCACCTCGCAAAACCTTGCCGACCAAGTCGTTTTCAGGCAGCTGGTAGGTGAGAAAATGAGAAACCATGGTTTGGTGCAATTGGATGTATTTGGTGTGCGATTCAAATCCAGGGGCAGAGGGAGTTCTCAATGGGGCAACCAGGGAGTGTTTGATGTCCTCGTGTGCCTGGAGCTGGCACCTGAGACTGAGCTCCTTTTTCCTGGGGGAACCGGGTGGTTTGCTGGAAAACTCCACATGGGGTTGGTGGGGTCTTCCGCTTGCATGTTTGGCAGGTGCAAAGCGAGATCTACAAAGGAAGTCGCTTGGAAAGCACGGAGCCAGGCATGGGACACTGGCTTGCGGCTTACTTCTTCAGGGTGGGAGGACAGCGCACTGGATGTTCTACAACTCGTCCCAGAAACACGAGCAACTCGTCCAAGAGGTCCGCACAGTTCCTGACGGTATTGCTTGGGAGCACTCAGCAGAGCCAGAGCAGAGTGTAACTAGACGACTAGCTGCTGTGACTAGCTGACTAGCGTGTCCAAAGACAAAGCAGGCCTAGAAAACCTGGGTTCCTCGCCCAGCATGGACTGTAGTGTTTACCTACATTGATCCCTTTCGACCACCCCAAATGTATGTAAACACACGGACCGGAGGTTCTGGCCTCGACACCGGGTGGTGTTCCCGCAGTGCTTTGGCCTCGCCTGGCTGGGAATGTGTGTGTTTTTGTTTTCCATATTCTTCGCTGCATGGAAGTCTCGTTTTTTAGGTTTGGAACCGTTCTTTCTGCATGAAGCCACAGACCGAGGCTAGATGCACCAACAAAAACACCAAGCAACAACATAGCAGTGGAAACAGCTCTTTCAAAACTGGAAGGTGCCAATGCCTCGCTCACGTCAAAGTCCATGATTACAGTAATATGAGTATGCATTAAACATATTATTAACATAATATATATAATATGATCTTAATATGTATATAAACATCGATTCATTGTTTGATACTTATTTAGATGACTAGATGTAGAGGTTCCATGTCATGGCCGGCCATCCACCCTCTCAGTGATCCGCCTGTTGCCGAGGGATTGCCGCCTTTGAGCAGTCACTGAGAAGCTATCAAGCAGGGCTCAAGCAAGAGGCCTACTACTACTACAGGCCTGAGACCTTATGGGACCCCTAAAGCAATAGGGGCGCATAAATGAGAGATGCATTTTTTGGGGGATGCAGTAGGCGGGTTGTTCAAGCCATTTAGCTGACTGTTCAGACTTCAAGTTTTTGTCGCTGCAATCCATTGATCAGAGGTCAATATAGGAGGGAGCTTTGCCGTGCAGAAACGCACCCAGTCGCACTGTTTTTAGTTCTGAGCGCTCCTTCCAGCGCACCCCGGTGGCGGTCCAGGCGCCGGACCCCCAACCGGTCACCGGTGAAGCCATCGGACCGCGGCAGGTCCGGTGTGGAGTTGGCCTTCCAACGGATCCAGACCGTGACCACACACCTGGACATGACGCTCGACCGGACTTCACCGTGGTTTTGTCCAAGAAAACCACCGAATGAAGCGGACCAGGGTGCACGGCGCGTTGAGTGCTGCGTTGGTTCGAGAGCTCAGGAAAACTGCGGAGTTGGAGGACCTGCACCTGGTCAGCAGTGGATTCCTGGATTGTTGCCCATGGCAGAGGTTGAGGGTCTTCCACAATTTGCTCCAGAGTTCGCCCCGGCTTTTGCCAAGTGAACTTGGTTGAGGCAGAAGACCTTCCACTGCTGCTGGTATGCGTATGAAACACTGATTGGAGATATTTATAGATATAATAAATATATATATATACCGACGGACTGGAAGATAGAATGTGCTTTTGGACCGGCAAACACTACATTCTAACAGTCAGTGTTAGAATGTGCAGAAAACCTTTGAATGCGTCTCTTCATGGTTCAGCGACACATTAGGACCAGAAAAAACGAATGCGAAGGGAACATTAAAGGAATTGAAGGAATGTTCTAAAACCACTCTAACTTTGGGTCTCGTCCACCCGGGTCCAAGAGCTGCTAACTCTCGATGCCAAAGTTTTGGAAACGGCGCATACATTCTAAATCATTCTAAGTTCCAGTCCGTCGGTATATATATATATATGTAGATATCTATTTCTCTATCCATCCATCTATCAATCTATCTATCTTTCTTTGATTGCCATGATCCTTTTCTTTATGGAGTGGATCACATCAGATGATCCTCTTAGTCAAAGGGTATGCCCCCCATGACTTTTCGTCCTTCTGAGGCAAGTGCTAAACTTTGATCTACACATCTTTGCACACCGAATCTACACACTGGGATGTTTTCCAGGGTCGGGTCAGGGTTTGTTTCCGGGATCAATGTGTTTTTCTTCCTTCACCTGACGCTGCAGCTGACCCTATTGGGACAGTCGTAGGCAGGTAGTATACGCCCCATGTGGGCAGAGGTACTTGTCAATCCTCAGAGCAGCGCCCATTGCGACCGCATCCCGCCGGTCCACGGTCCCACACCCGACGGGGCCTCCAGGCACCTGATCGCCAAGAATTTTGACTACCCCGACGAGGTGAAAGAGTCCTTCAAAATCATGAGCCTTGCCACGTGTGTTTGGCTGAAGTTGGGACATTTCAGCGGCTTAGTGGCCTCGAGAGAGAGAGAGAGAGACACTCACGATTTGTTTGGGGATGCACTTGGGTCATTTTGGCTAGCTATTCTGGGTCCCAGCGATGTGCTTTTGCATCCTGCTCTTAGGGCCTTAGGGATGGGATGATTGGGATCAATGTGAGCACCGGGAATCTCCGACGGGCCCAGTGGCGTCAGACGGGCCACTTCCCTCAAGCGCAACGGAACCCACTTCCTCCACCAATCACCGCTTGATCCGGATTCTCGGATCGGTTTGGCCGCTCACCGCCTCGACGTGGTCGACCACTCGGAGCCTCGGGAGCATCTCTCGACCGATCCGCGAATCCGAGGAACATGATGCGCGAGGATGTGGCGTTGATCAAATCCTTGTGGGACCATGAGGCCTTCCTTTGACACGTCGATCAAATCGAACCGATCGGTGTTCGGGTGTTTCCGACGTCGGAATCACGGGTTTTTGGGGCCACGCAAAGGGGGGGGAAGTGTTCCGAAGTAGCTGGATTCCAAGAAGTGGAAATGAAAAGCTTTCTTCGGTCTTGAGAAGACATCAACAAGAAAAATCAAAGAATGTGGGCAGCCTGGGCTGGGTCTAGAATCCTTTTTCGACCTCTTCTTGGGAGATTGTGAACTCAGTGACAATTAAGCAAACAAATGGTTGGGAGCCAGGAGATTGTGGTTGCCTCTCCCACATAATTATGAGGACTTCCACAGGTTTTGCCTCCAGCCACGAAGCGTTCAGGCACTTCTGAATACTGCGTACCGCTTAGTAGACCAACCCAGCCTGGAAAAGAAGTACCCGTACTGAAGCCTATTGGACCTGGAGGACCTCAGCCCATCGACATCAGATAGGTCCTGATTGGAACGCATGGTTCATCATACCGAGACCAGTACCCAGACCATACATGTACGAATTAATTATACGGGTAATAGATATTCATAAAATAGATGTTCATGATGTAACTAAATATGATATATATATATATATACCCAAATAGTGTATGGAATATATGCTTACATTGGCCGCAGGTCAACCACCCCAATGTATGCAAGAATATCCAGTCCCACGGAGTGTGTTGGGATATATAACTACAAGTGCACCTACAGAATCCTACAGACTACTATTATCATCTATGATCTAATATTAGAACCATGACGATTTCAGTTTTATACACTATAGGAACCATGGAGGGTATGATGTAACCATGGAACACTTGATCTCTTTGCCCCCGTTGGCAGCCCCTTTGCCCTGCGCAGGTGGCGCGCATCCGGCTCGCCGAGTCGTATTTGGTGAAGCGCTGGGGCACCGTGGATGCCCTGCAGATGGAGGACCAGCGGTGGAGAAACCGGTCTGACCGGTGTGACAGGTCTGAAATCAGTGCACCGAAATCAGTCAGGATCCTGAAGGAGTCATTGCTCGAAAGAATCTTAGACAAATGAGCTGGTGGTAAGGATTGGTAAGGGTTTCAATACTGGACGTATCTGGAGGACACGATCTCCTAGCAGCAAACTTGGCAAGTCGTCAGGCATGTCAAGCGTGTCAAGTTCGCTGACAGGATGATATCAAGACCAACTTCAAGAAGTTGAAGGAGTACAAGGCCTGAAAGTTCCTGAGGGGCTGCGTTTCTTGATTCGATCCAGGACATGTTGACATCGGTGTCCAATCGTCCCAGATATGTTTGGGGGTTGTTGAACATCACAGGGTTCCAATGCGCATTCTCAAGGTCCATTGTGATGGACGTCGCCACACATGGGTGGTGTAACCCCAAGATTCGGGAGCTTGAACCTGGCGATTGAAGTCAACTTACTTGACCCTTTTGGGCACACCAGCAGAGGTTTTCAGAACCCTATAGACTATCCTAGTTCGGTACCCCAGGTTACGGGTCACGTTCACCTTTGTTGCCATGTCTTTTCCAAAAGGAGCGAGCGAGCGTCTCGCCCCGGCTCCTCGGCCATCTGGTCCGACACTCGAGGCCGTCGGAAACGCGTTTCAGATCTAGGGGCGCGCCCGACGTCCCGACCGAGTCGATAGGTGGACAAACGATTGGACGTCTACACAGGGATGCAGGAGGTGATCAAGCGATGGGCCTCTTCGACGGAAGACGATGGCTAAGATGCGCAATATGCGCCAAAACGAAGAGTCGGCTAACGTCTGGGACGTTTGAGAGATGGCATGCGTACGGGTCGTGCCCGGTGGATCAAATCATGGGGGCACCCCAGGTTTTTCTCCGTTCGTTCGGCCCGCCATGGAACTGCTACGTTCGCTCCCCGGAGATGAACCCACGACGTCGGCTGATTCACTGTTATTCACCGGAGATGAAGATGGGAACTCATCGGCCTTCTTTGGTTCTCATGTTGAATCATGTTACAAGACATTACAAATATAGGTCGTGTCCATTTCACTCCTTCAAATAGTCATGGATTGCATGGCCCCTTGGATGACCATACAGGTAGTGCCTCCACTTCCATATATGATTATTGCAGGGAGTGCACCTGTAACAGTCAGCAATGGATTACCACGATGTTTGAGAAAGGTCTTTACTAACCATCATCATCCACGGTTTCTGGGAATTGGATCATTTTGGATCCTAGCGCCCTGAGGGGTGTGATTAGGAGACTTGTTTAGCGAGTTTCCGCTGGCCGTAGCGGCCTGTTTTCTCTCAGCAAACCAAACGCCCAAAACCCTTGGGTCACAGGTTTGCACCCTCTAGGTCTAGGTCGCCACCACCGCGTGCGCGTGTGCACGGGGGGGCGATGCTACATGATGCCATAGTAACCTCTGCCAGTTGGCCCAAATTCCGTCGTACCCTTGAAAATCACCCATTGCTTGGCACTGGAAATCATGGCATCCATTGGCATCCTAGATTTGACTGATTTGACTTCAAGAAAAACGCACCAGAGCTACCCTTCCACCCAACCTGCCCCCGACCACTTCCCAACCAAGAAGTTGTTCACCAATCAAAGCCTTCACCCCCTGTGCATCCCGAACACGCAGTAGTGCGCCCGCGAGTCGCCGCGCTCGAGGTGATCTTCTGCCCGTTGGTCGCCGAGTTGCTGGACCCTTCGATGCGGCCCCGGCATTGGATGGCCTTGGTGCACCTTTGTGGATGCCTGGCATGGATGGCGGGATGGTCCCACCAGTTCGGCGGTTGGGGGCGGGTTGTGGTGTGAGGGAGGGGGGTTTGGTTCTTTGGGGGGGTCGGAGTGAGGGAGTGGGTTTCGGGGATCAGTATGTCAGTATGTTCCTTCTTTTTTGTTGGGGGGGGTGTTGGTGAGATATGGTAGCATGGGGCCCAAAAGGCGAAGAAGCGAGTTCCTGGAGTCACCGAGCGTATATAGAGCAAGCTTTGGGAAAGTGGAGGGCGAGGATTCTTGGGGTGACTTGTGGGAGTTTCGACCAAGCCTAAGAATCCGGTGTTACTAGTAGCGATGCACTTATTACTAGTAGCGATGGCCTCCAACCCAGTGTTATCCCACGTTATCCCTGGGATTAGCTATGTTACATTATCCTGTCTTTTTGCCAATCGGGACGGTGCTTTAATGCCAGCTGTAGATTTGTGGTTTGTTTTGAATATGCGTATCAACGTGTTCCTTACTTACTGCAATCTACATCAAGGAGAAAAAAGCAAACCCCTGAAACGAAACAGCGTCTCGAAGGGCGGATGAAAGAACTGATCTCCGCCGGTGCTTCGCCGAAGGGCGGAGCATTTCAGTGCAAGATTGGGCGTTTAAACTATCATGATGAAGCCAGGCTAGGCAAAAGAAGTCGTACTGACTGGCTGATTGATTGAGGGATAAGTCAGGGTCGTTTCTTCAGATGCCTCTTTCCATGCCACTCACGACATGGACTCCGGCGCTGCAGGGAAATCGGTGGATGTGTCCAAAGTCAAAGACCTCTTGCTTCGAGACATGTGGACCTTAGAGCTCTACAAGCACCCACAGGTGCCGACGGTGTTCACCGGTACCGTGATTGGGCAACAGGAAGGGCTCGAAAAACGGTAATTATATCAATCCCTACCAGACAGTGGAGATGTTTCACCTGCGAAATCTGGTGTTTGGGGTGGAAGACGGGGGGGAGGCACCCCACTGGTTCCAAGAACAGGTGCAGTTCGTTCGGTGTTATGTTTTCCTATCATGCACTGAGAGCAAGCTCTCTTTGAGTAGTGCTGGAGAAGCTCGTTTTGATGCGCTTATTGATGCCTGCGTAAGTCTACAAAGCACGGGAGCAGGGGTGGGGCTGCTGTGCTGAAACAAGAGGGACTCCACTCCCATAATCAGGAGCTTAGGAGCTTTGAGGTTGACTTCATGTGGCGCCATGTGGCGCCATGTGGCCCCTGAAGTTCAGCCACAGTGGGACTGTGGGACAGCCATCCCTCCCAGTCCTTTCATATGTTGTTTTGAGTTCATGGAAGCTTAAAGACAATAATATGGAGGGTTGAAACATCAACCAGTACTGGCCCTCCCCACAAGAGGCTGGAGAAGTGTAGGGAGCCGCCACAATTAGCAACAACACAAAATAGTACACAGGTTGATTATTGGGCAATATTGGGCAAATGCAGAACATGACAGCACCAGCGAGATGGCATCACTGATGCTGTTGCTGCATTTTTTCGCAGGAAGTGGAAGAGATCGGAGAGCAGGCAAAACAGGACAACTGCTGCAGTTGAGCAAGTCCAGCGAGCTGCACACGGGCAACCTCACCCCCGGGCCCCAACTGCTTTGAAGAGTTGAGTTCAATCAGATGGTCCCAACTGCTCACGACACGGGGTTTTCTTTTCTTTTGTGTCACTGTGTCACTGTGGGTCATTTCATGCGTTTTCATGTCCTGCACTTTTGGTGGCGAACGGGTTTGTGTGCCGCAGCGCACGGGCAAGCGACGCGCCGCGCCCGAAAGACTCCCATGGACCCTCTGGAACCCTGGAGAACCGTCCAAAAGCGGAGCCGAGCATCAGAACTCCTGGCTCGAATGCCAATGAGCCAAGAGTCTTGAGGGGGGTACATAAATCTTGCGGCTAATTTTCTGCAAAAAATCGTTGAACATGGATTGCCTGGACCCTTTTGGCTTCCGACGCACCGTTCCATCCGCGACTCACCACGCCCATCCAACACTGTCAGATGTAGTCCGGTTTGCTTCCAGGAGTCCAAAATGGAAGGCACCATCGCAAAACTACATCGAAGCCCGGATGATTGTGGAGAGGCCAATTTTGGCCTCTGACGTAAAGAGTAAGGAAGTGTATAGTGGTCAAGAACCGTCCACAAAATACAAGGAAGGTCTGAAGAAAATGGGTACAGAAGAACCTTTTGGGCGCTTGGCGCTTGAGCAATACCAAAGGAATTACTCGCGACCTGTTTGTAGTGTTTGGTACAAATATTTATCTTCTGAGCCCGCCACTATAAATGCAAGCATCGCCCAAAGTAGCAACTTTCAGGCAGTTCTATGAGATGCAGACAGCTACTTGTGAAGTGTTCGTAGCCAGATCCTTTCAGTGAGGACGGTCTAGCATTGGGGTGGGAATGTGATCGGCTGGCGCAACCTGGGGGTCGGATTCTTTTGCATGGCCCAAGGAATTTGGTCCGCCGTGGAGTTCGTGTATGAAAAGCACAAGGGGAGCGATGTGATGCTTATGCAGCTTGGACTGGGCGGGTTCCACGTCTGTTTCTTTTTGGCCCCGTTTTGGGTGTACATTAAAATCCGGAGATCTTCCAGTACGACCCCCTGGAAGAAGCGATACAGACCAAAAACCATTGGGCATCATTGGGCCACGGCCATGGGATCTCCCTATTAAAATGCTCCCAGTTGCATGATCCTTTTAAGGTAGACCTCACCTCCAATAACATAGTTCGTATCCATTCGATTTGTTGTTGGTCCATCTTTGGTGGCAGGATCTGGCTGTTGGAGGGGTGGACCAGGTGGACTTTGAGGTGTCCAACATCCCTCCAACAGAGGTTAAGTTAAGTGACCTTATAGGACCCATGGCATAAACGTGACCGGGGTACCTATAGGATAGTCTATAGGGTTCTTCAACCTTTGCTGGTTGTAGTTTCATGTGGTGTCAATATTGTTTCGTAAGCTGGTCTTCAGCTCTCGGTCGTTGCCCCCAACGGGAGAACCCCCCCAACTCCAGGGCTCCCGAGAGAAACTTCAAGGCTTTGAAGGTTGTATTTTCACCTTGTGATACAGTGGTCTCAGAGTAGATGGCGCAGACCCCATGATTCAAAGATGTCCTCTAGATGGGGGTCCATACAAACCACCTCTTGGGGGTTGTTCCATCTAGTCTTTGGAAAGAGCCTGTTTTCTAAATTTAAAATAGCAGTCAAAAAAGTCAATCCCAAAAGTCACAGTCAAAAAGAAGTCAAATCAGAAAATTTCAGAAAGTCAAAAAAGTCAATTTGCCCAGATCCGACTTTTTTTAGACTGATTTTTTTTTGACTTTTTTTTTGACGTTTTTATGTTGTGTTTTCGACTTGTTAGTTGATTGTTGTTCTCGACTTGTTTTTGACTTTTTCGAGTTGTTTTTTGATTTTGTTTTTGACTTTTTGTTTGACTTCTTTTTCCGATTTTTTTTTTGACTTGTTTTTGTCCTTTTCGAGCTGTGGTCTATGGTTGATTTTGTTTGTTTTTACTGTTTTTTGACTGTTCAATTTGATGTTTTTTTGACTTTGACTTTTCCAGTTGGCTTGTTTTGATTTTTTTCGACTTTTTTGTTTAAATCAAGGATTCTGGCCTTACCATTTGAACGTTTTTTCAAAATAAATCTACTCTCAATCCACTATAAGAGGTTTGAACAATGTTTAGAGTCTGGATTTTTTTGGATCAATCATGATCAATCATAGTTCAAACGGTGGTGCATGATCGCAAATAGGGCCACTGCAACAGGCAGCCGAACACTAATAAGGCTGCAATAGGGCGACAGTATGGGCAAGCCATGGCAAGCCTGGTTAGGCAAAGAAGAATCAGACTTGCACAGCTACAGTATGTCAGCCTAACCCTCCCCCCCCCCGAACGATCGGAATGGTGAAAGATCCCAAACGGACTTTCCTGAGAAGGTGTGGTGCGTTTTCGCCTCCACTATGTCCCTTGGAGCCTTGGCTCGAGCCACCTTCAAATGCCCCTGCAGGAGTCGCACCGCTCAGAACGAGATGGTGAACCCCCCCCAAAACGAGAGGTGTTTCCTCACCGGAAGGGTCTCCATGCCGGTTTTCGCGTTTTCGCGGCGCGGAGAGGCCGAGTGGCGACTCCATGCCGGAAGGGGTTTCCGAAAAAAGATCCCTCCATGTCTCGTTTGCTTGACCATCTCTGACCCACGAACATCCAAGAGTTGAAGGACCCAGACTGGGTCCAGACACTTAACCTCTGGATGGAATGGAATCCGGACAGTTGGGCCCCCGGGTAGCGACCATGTGGCGAAGGGCCAATTGGATGGGCACTCCGATCCACGAGGACTGTTGGTTCTTTCAACCTAGTCCACGGAGACTTGCAACCATGTGTTGGTCCTGACAGGATCAGACCTGCACAGCAGGTGCTACTTTGTATAGGAATTGGGTTGCCCAAGATGTTCCAACATCCTTTTTTGGGAGCACGACTGTAAGATACTGTAAGTACAGCCAGCAGGCTGTGCGGTTCCAGGCATGGAAGTGAAGAACAACGACTATAAGGCCCACAAGACTCGAACGGCCTTATTCCCAACTGTGATTTCTAGTGATTTCTATAAGGCTGTGCCAAAGCTCTGGAAGGTCTTTGGAAGGTCTTTGGAAGAGCCACCACTTCAGGGAGGGCAATGCTCCAACTACCTCCTGAGAAGATGGTTATGGTGGGTGCCATGGGGGTGCAACAAGGTTGGAGCCTTAGGGAGTTGTTATAGTGCTGTGTTGCTTTTTGCTTGAGGCATCTGAAGGATGAAGATGTGGAGACCCTGGAGGAGACATCCCAGTTTTTCCCAGTCATTGACTGGCGCCCGGGCTTGGAGAGAAGCATCCGGAGCTGGGGGTGATCCAAATTCATCCAAATGCCCTTCAGTTCAGCAAAGGAGCTGAAAGAAGATTCCCTAACCACTTGCCAGATAAGGAACATAAAGGAGCCAGGTTTCTAGCTTTGCTTTTTTAGTCTTTCCAACTTTCCTACTACTTGGCCTTGCTCGAAATGCTGCAATGCAAACAGGCACCCACAAAGACAGACTTCGATTACAGCCAAAGACCCTCAAGAGCTAGAGACACGCAACAAACCAATGAACTCTGTGATCGACAGCACTGCCGTGCCGTGCCCTGCCCCTGCGGACGGAGACGAGTCGGCTTCGTCGAACACGCAGGAGAACCAGGTGCAAGTGCAGAACATGTTTGCCTCGCGCTTTTTGTCCACTTTCGAGGCAGAGCAGATGCGGGTCGACACGAGTCGCGTTGCCGATTCATATCAGCAGGTCGAGTCCAGTCCGTGCGATGTCCGATGTGATGCGAGCAGATGGTCCCGGCCCACTTTGAAAGGGTCCATGTCACGGTGCGCTTACTCCCACGGCGGGGGAGTGTCTTTGGGATCTATGATGATCTATGGCACTAAAGTGAGAGCTTGGTTTTGACTCCTGCCATTCTATTAGGAACCGGTCTTCCCCTACATTGTAGGGGACGGGCAAATTCATCATAAGTAGATGTCAAGTCCACCAGTGGTGGTATGACAAAGGCAAGCTTTGTCCTTTGATTGTGCTTGTTTTGCACCGCAACCACACTGGAACATACTGGAACCATGGAATGTGAATCGAGCTTGCCGAAATGGCACTCACCTAGTCACTCACCTGTTAGATCCTTTTGGATCCTTTTGGCTTAATTTATGCATAGAAACAACCTCTGATGCAGGAATGAATGCACGCGATTGCACGCTACTCTCTAGGTTTGGAATGGTTTGGATATAGACGCCGTGTGCTTTCCAGGGAAGACCGGAACTTTTGGCAAAGATCATGTGAACATGGGGGGCAGCCTAAAGACAATCATGCACAAGGATCACGGATCCAATCAAATGCCAATTCTTTGGCCTGGCCTTGTCCACGATCGGCCTTTTGCTTCATGGCCAGCTGGCTAGATGACGGAATTGGCCATAAAAGTAGGTCCACTTTCGCCCCCCAGGGCGTCTCTTTGGCTGCCAGGAACAGGTTCTGTTCTGGCAGAAGACCTTGGCCTCCATCAGTGGCTCGATCGCACCAGTTGGGCGATGGCTGCGACTTTGGTGGCCTGGGAGTTGGTTCTCCAACAGCAGCCGCAGTGCCTGTCTAGGTCTAGACAGTCATCGTTGGAAATCCGGGGTCCATGGGACCTTTTTGGAGAAGATTCTTGCAACCATCGGAGAGATCATGAAGAACCTTGGTTTCGACTTTGTTGGATTTGATGGGTCGATTGCTACAAAGCAGGTTCGTGCTCCCTTTGTGCGTCCCACGAGCGCCCGAAAATGGGCCGAGCACCAAAGGGGGGCTGTCGGTTCTTTTCTCGAAGAAAGGGATGTTATAGTACCGTGCTGTATTTTGGAAGAAATGATCTGCACCAAGAAGTGCCCGATCTTCCATTTGATGTGGGGTCGGAAAAGATGGATCTTCCATTCAATAAATTGCCTTAATATCTTCCAAAATACAGCACCGTACTATAAATCTAAAGAGGGATTTGTGTGATGTTTGTGAGGCTTCCTTTGTTGTTCTTCATGTGTGTGTGTGTGTGAGGGGAGGTGGGTGCACGCGAACTGATATGACATGAGAACGACCAAAGTCACATCGGGCAGTGAACGGATAGGATTCCTGTGACAGATGTAGCACCGCATGACCACACCTTCCTCGAAAGCAGGTGCATGTATATCATAATTATCCCCCTACCACAGGCCTGCAGGGCTGCCATGGCACCCAGACACTCCATGTATAGCAAATACATGCTGATCTGCAAATATGCCATTGACCCCAGGCCCACCACCCCTGTTTGTTTGTAAATATGCCAGTCCCAGTTTCGTCCGGGCTTCGCTCACGTTCACACATTCGGTCTTTGGACGCGCGGTGAAAACCGGGGGAGCTCCCGGAGGTGAGACGTCAAGCTTGCTCAGTGAAGTGATTCGGACCTGGGTCTTTCTGGAGAATCTCTTCATCCACTCGGAGGACGTGGTGGTGGTGGTGGTGGTGGTGGGCGCGTGCGCGTGTGCGATGCTGGGGAGGGGACAGGAAGGTCAGAGTTGGCGACGTTGTTGGGCAACGTGGTTTGGGGGGGGGACAGGAAGGTGATGCTGAGTTGTTTTTAAAGATGATCCCTTTGGGCATCATGCCTATGTTCCTTAATTTCGTTGGTGGCTGCGGATCTCCATCAAGATCGGATTTGTCAGCTTAGTGACATGTAACATGCATACCTGCGTCCTCAAACATATGCCACATTATTGTTTCATATTATATATATATTGCTTCCCATGAAAATGGTTTTGGGACAAAGGTCACTTTCTTGGTTCGTTACTGCTTTTTGCTTTTGCCACAAAGTGAGCAGGAAAGAGATCTTCAAGTGGCACATCATCTCGCACGAAACCCTGCAAAAAACAACCCAAAGATGGTGCAAACAATCAGTATGTACAAGTGCACATGTTTAAAGGGGATGTGTTTTACGAAACAACACTTTTTAGGCAGGCCAAACCACAATGAAACAGATGCACCAGGGTGGCGTAGGCATAGGTGTGGATTGGAATGGGGACACCCCAACCAAAAATACCCTTCCCTTCCACCAGAACAGGTTTTCTAATATATGTGGTGTAATGTTCAATTTGTGTGTGTGTGTGATGTGTTTCTTTGTTCCCATGCACAGTGTTACCTTACTTCTTCATTGCACCCCTTGTTTGCCTTGGGTCGCTCAGGCTATGGCCAAACGCAAAATATACTTTTTCTCGTACCTGCTAACATGTGACCATCCACATCACAACATGATCATCGGCATCACAACATCAATATTGTCATCGATGAGTCGTAGCACATTGAAAAATCAAAACATCGCTAGCTGCTCAGTCGTAGACATCGACGCAACGACCTGAGTTTTTGCAATTTTTTTGGGGGGGGCGTGCTGACCTGACCGTCGTAACTGCAAGCAGAAAATGACTAGGCAGTTACCAACCCATGTGAAAAATGGTGTATTTGCTACACGCTATGATGAGTTTCTTGTCCTAAAGTGACAACCCTTCCAGTGTTTTTTTCTCTTGGCATCCTCAATGGTGCAAATTGGCTCAGGCTTCGCATAATGCGGCCGTTACCCTTGGTCTAAGTGGTATACGCTATGCGCGTCATCGCACCCCAGGAGGTGAAGAAGGAGCTACCCGACGAGACCGAACGCTTCATGGACATTGACGAGGCCACCGCGCGCGGACGCGGACGGGCTTCTGCATGGGTGGAGCAAAACCAGGCGGATGAAATAGAACACGAGTACCTATTAGGGGGGCCGTTTTTTTTTTTTAATAGGTGGACCGGATTTGAACACAACAACGTTGTTTGGTATTTCCCAGTGTTCCCAGTGTTTGGTGACAACGTCAAGAAAACACAATCATCTTCAGGTGGTGGAACAGATGAACCATACATGTTTCATGGTGTGTAGTGGCACACGTTCCAGGAACAGGTACTACTACGTAGTAACAAACCAACAGCACGAGGTACAATGTCGTATGGTCCTAGCACTTTAGCGATTTCATGAAACATGTCAATGTTTGGTCTGGAAACGTGCAGCAAGTCCGGTTGGAGGTCCCCGAGACCCGAATTCTACGACTCCAGTCCCTCACCCTCCGACTCACTAACATTGTAAGGGGATGGCATGAACCTTGGATGACTCCTGGTATTGCTGGTCCCCGGATGTGTTGCTAAAACTTTACTGGCTTACAGTACTCACAATGGTGGGAACCCACTCCATGTCGTTCGTGCCATTTCTGTGCCAAGCCATCTCGTCTCCCAAAACAGTCGACGCACGTCCTCCGTCCGCGTCTTCGTCCTCGCGGCTCGAGGATGTGAAGGCCCTCCTAGCAAGGGGCTATGAAGCCCGCTTCGCCAAGCAGTTCTGTTGTGAGCCCAGCGACTGGGACGGGACATACCGCACCCGATCTTTGCGGACGACCGGCTGTTTGGAGACCCGGGAACCGACCGGGGGGAAGGAATGCCTGGCCCTGAACCTGTGTGCGACCGTGAGAACGGTCATTGCGGTCCCGCACCTGTGTGCTGGCCGTGATGGGACCCTGCCTAGGAAAAGTTGATGTTCCGAACCTAAGACTTGTTTTGGGGATGGACTTTTTCTCGACGATTGGAGACACCCCACTCTGATGCCAACAGGTGGAAACAGGTCTGACTCTTTTCAGATGAACTGATGTTTTTTCTCACAGTCAGGGTCATCCTGTTGAGCATGTCAGCAATGGCAATTCACTTGTGGGGTCGTTTTGAACGTCTCCCAATGCCTCCCACAACGCCGAGTGCTGAGTGAAGCAAGCTCCGTGGTGGGGGCGGCCTTGGCCGGCCTTGGCCCCCCAAGTCATCAGCAGAATGACACAGCCCCTGGCACCCTGGTTGCCTGAAAATGAACCGATTCTCCCGGAATGTCAACCTTTCATGGTTTGTGGAGTGAGGTTTGACCCAAATGCAAATTATCCAAAGACATCCTATGACCATGTTCTTTTTGGGGGGGCAACACCTGATATCAACGACTTGGGGATTGAGCCGTTCGAGTCTGCTGGGGTGCACACGTGGGGATTTTTCGAGTTTCGGTCTCCTTGGGCAAGGATGCGGATGCAGGACTTGGCGTTCGGAAGAAATCATTCACCTTGTCAGACCCTTCTTCACACCGTCAAGTCAAGGCAAGCCATAACGACCTCAGAAGCATCTCATGCTGCCCTTTCAGCCATGCATCGCCCCACTCCCAGCCTGGTGCTGGCTGGGGGACCGATGTGCGTTCCGAAGAAGCTAAGGTATCTATCGGATCTTGGCGCCTCGGCCGGTTAGTATCATCCGCGGGATGATCCATGAGAAGATACCATCATCCTTAGTAGGAGGTAAAAAAAAAAGATGTGAACAGAGAGGCTGCTCAAGCAGAAAGTAACCCAGACTTTGAGTTTCGGGATGTTTCGGGATTGGGTAAATGGTCGAAGTATGACTGACATTGTCACGTCCATTTCAAGCGGTCCCAGTTAGGAATTGGAGGGTCGAACAACGATGGCGGAACCTTTCGGCATGTGTTTTAGCAGTGGCCTATGAAACCTCGACAGCTCATCATGATGAATCCAGTGGTGACTTCGGACTTGCATGTTGCAAGGGTGTTATGCTGGCAAGCCAGCATGGCCATCTCTGAAGCAGGATTTCTTGACCAAGTCTGTGATTTCGCTTTCATGGGATGGAGAAATGGAAGTAGACATGTGTAAACATATGTTGACATGATGGGTAAAGAAAGCTTGAGCCAAACTTTCTGGATACCTACGCAAATGGCTTGGTGTATTGTGGTGTGCTTCTTTTTCAAGCTTACGAGTGCTTTCTTACGTCAGGTGCCAAGTGGCTCCACAGTCCTTATTTAACCTGGCATATTATTTTTTGACATTCTTGCGGGGACCCTGCTCGTGAGGTTTACTTCTCATTACTTGCCTTCATGTGCACCAATTGCTTAGGAGAAGACTCAACAACAGCTCCTGATGTGCGAAAAGGCCTTGAATGAGTTTATGGATGGCAAACGCCAGGCGCCTGGCGCAAGGTGATATCTTTGATTAGCGCAGGTGCCGGGACCTGTGAGGGAAGTAATATGATGTGACCCATGTTCACCTGTTGGTGCCTTTCGTACCATGGAAATCTCCCCCTACACAACAAGCCAGCTGCTAAGTTTGGTATCTTCATGTTCCTTCTAGGCTGATTGCGCTCTCTGATTTTGCTGAATTTAAGTCGGATGTGTTGCCATCCAATTTGATGCAACCAGCGGCTTTCGAACGAAGGGGCGTGCCTATGCCTGACCTCGGGAGTCCTAAGACTAGTTGAAACATGGTCTGAGGAAGACCTGAACAGGAAGTTCCTTTGCTTGTGAGGTGGGGCCAAATGCCTTAATACCGTTTTAGACGGTTTCGTCATGTTTCATCATGCCTTCCCTGAAGTGTGCCGTAGTTCCTGCGTTTCCCATCCGAACTTGCCGATGTCCGGGCCTCAACGAGGCCTTTCCACGGTTCTATTTCATGTCCTCGGCGGATCTTCTGGATGTCCTCAGCAACGGCAACAATCCCGCGCGTGTGGTGCACCACTTCCCCAAGTTCTTCAACGCCATTGAAACTTGGTTGAACTTATTTTCACATGAACTCGACCCCAATGCATGAAATGAGTGCTTGGATTACAGTCTAATCAGGGTTTGGATTAACTTGAAACTTTATACATATTTGTAAATTGGTCCGTGCTATTGCAATCTTGGTTGGCAGTTGGCATGGATTACACGCACCTGTTGATTTCCAGATCTAGTTCCTTGGCATGTTTCCTCCACACAGGCTATTTGTGATTTCCATTTGCTTGATCAGGGCGATCTCGTCAAATCGAGATAGTCCACTTATGGATCCCCCCCCAAAAGGGGCAGGGGCGCCACTCAACGTCCGATGGCCCGTCGGCATGAAACCTTTAGATGGTGGTTCTTGAAAGATCTTGAAAGATCCTTCTTTTGGGAACCCGTCAAAAAGTCCACCAAACGCTGCTCCAGACCTAGACTTATATAGCCGCAAGTGTTGTTTGGACACACCTGGGCCTACCTGGGCATTTTTAAAGCAAAGCCAACGCTTATTTTGGCGAGGGCCCAGGAGGGCGCTTTGGGTGGTGTCGGTCTCCCTGAAGGAGGAGAATTGCAGAAACCAACAGGAATCCAACAGGATTACTGCGACAAGACGGGGATGGAACATGGCCCTGGCAACCGATTTTTACTCCTACAAGCAGGTGATGGCGTACCTCTATGCTCTTCTGTTGATCAGTCTCAGTGCCCAAAAGTGAAGATGAGCATTTCAACACATGTCCAAGTACGTGTCTCAAGCGCTGACCGCGGGCTCCAAGGAGAAGTACGACCTGGAGTTCCCAGATGGACCCACGTCCCGGCCCTATGCCAGTGGCTTACATGCGGCCATTGGCAAGGAGTATGTGCCCTTCTTCGAGGCATGTGCGAAGAGTCGCCGAGAACGCCCGGTCGTCCGCGGCTCGGAGTGGTTCCCCTGAAACGATGGGACCAACCGTGAGGTTGGGGCCATTCCCATGTCATCCCTCTGACTCAGACCCCTATGGACGCAACTTTTTATGAGTTCTTTTTCTTGTTGACCCTGACCAATGCCTTCATGTCGACCATTGATGTTCAACGTTTCGGACCTCATTGATTGATGCAATCGTAGAGGCATTGCACTTGGTGGGCAAAGTGGAGATGCTTCTTGGATGCAGTGACCGCTATTCGAGACAACCAATGATTGGCCCATGACCTGGGTAACGAGATCCATGGCTGGCCACCCTCGTTTCCCCCTTGGCTGAGCGGTTTGGATTGGCTGCATCAATATTACTCTATATATATAATGTATGATTTATAACGTAATGTATGCTTTCTTATTTGTATACCTCCAAAAGTAAGGATATATATATATATATACCATAAGTGTATAATATAATACATATATATATATATACACATATTTATGCACATGACATAGATTCGATGATTCCTGATGGCTCTTTCTTGCTTTAAGGCGGGCGCCTCCAGCCAAGCATTGACAGTTCTTGAACAACATGGGAGACCAGGATCACACAGCAGGGAGTTGAGGCCAACTCAGTGCAAATTCCATGACATGACCATGCCTTGGGCTACCCCCACACCCAGCAATCCGTGCTAGTCTCTTCACTATCCTTTGGTCCATCGGTATGTAGGTATCCCAAGAGCAACTCGACACGACAGGAACTCACCAGACGTTGGCTGGGACACTGACCTGTGCTCACACCAGCCAAGCGGCTGGCCCCCTCATCTGAACTCAAGACACCGGTTTCCCACCCCCCCAAATGATTTCATCGAGCTTTACCGTCCTTTTGCCAGCGTCACAGCGGCACTTCAAGCACAAGATGAATAGCACTCAGGGCGATTCATGCATGATCACCAGTCAGTGGAGTTGTATACACCATGCTGCCACGCACGCAAAAGCTCTACCAAGGCGCCCCTTTCCCTCTTCCTAAAAAAATGAAAACACGGCCAATCCGCTAGAGCCACCGGTTCCCGACAGCCGGCTCCCCTCGCTGCGGAGCGAGGCTCCCCTCCCCCCCCAGGTACTTGGAGCGATGCATCGAAACCTTCCGCACCACCTTGCGGCACTTCGCCCTCAACGACCTGCGGAGCTACGCGGAAAACGACTGCCAGGCAGGTCGACCGGCAGGGAAGCCTGGTCTCACTTCACACACGGGGGTGTGGCACCGGTGGGGGGTCAGTTGGTGATGAAAGCCCGCTTCAGAGCTGGGCTTCTCTTTTGGGTGCTTCGCGGTTGTACAAGCTCTTGAGCGTCGGGACGGGTTTACTCAGTGGGTTTGAAGGTCGGATGACGCCACAGCCAGCATTCTGTCACAGTTGGCTAAGAGGTTTCCTGCTTTTGACTTAGGTTGTGACTGTTGCACAGCAATATCAAACCAGTTAGCCAACCCTATCGTGCTAACATATAACCTTGTGTTGCCCTGATTCTGTAAAGCCGAGTTCTTTCTGAAAGTTGTTTTTCCTCAGCATGCGAACTACTGCTCACGCGCATTCATTCCAGCGTCCTTCCGGCGCGCATTCGTCGGGGGGGGTCCCTTTGGTCGCATGCGGCTGCGGCGGAGGTGGATGGACCTGCACGAGGCAAGTGGCTCTTGGGGGTCAAGGCAGCACAAGGTGCTTTGCTCGTGCAGCTGCTCGTGCAGCTGTGGAGGACGTTTGGGAGGTCTGAATTTTGCGGGTGGACTGAACGCGGAAAGGAAAAAAGCAACAGAAAAGAACGGACAAGACAACATGTGGGTGGGGCACCTCTAGAAAGTGGAGTAAGACTGAATTGACATGTCTTAAACGTATTTGGATATGACTGTCACTGAGGTTTCTCGAGGGGCCCCAGCTCTAGGGGCCAAGCCTGCCAAGCCTGTGTTTGAAGTGCTGCAGGGCCATTCGCACGTTCTTTTTATTCTCAGCTAACTCCTAATTGGCTGGTTGAAGTCTAATTTTTGAACTTTAAAGGTTGTTCCTGTTTGATCCGTTGGTGTTTGTCCACAGGTTTCCTGCCAAAAAGCACCCACCCAAGTGCTAGTCTTGGACCCAAGCATACAAGAGTTTATTTACCTGGAAGTTAATTTCTTCCGAAACCTTGGGAAACCTACTCTCCCAGTTGCAATCCCAAGACAATCATCAGTAGATAACTTTGTCAACATCGTCCAAAGAGGAAGGCGATTCATTTTGGATGTATTTTTTCTACTCGAACAAGCTGCATGAGAACATGAAAAAGCCTTCAACTTTCAACAGTGCCACAAAACACTCCCTCCCTGAACCTGGAGCCACAGCAATGGATGTGAAAAGTCCACATAAGGAGTGGTCTTTTGGGCTTCACCATGGACTGGACTCCCCTTTTGGGGCTTCCCCCCCGTTGGGGGCGCCCAACTGAGGCTCATCACCTGGGTTCAGTTGGTGGAGTCCGCCTTCCAGGCGGAGCCAGCACAGCTTTTGCGAGTGTGTCATCGACATAGCTTGGATTGTACTCGTTCGTTTGGCAAAACACCGTGTAACCATTGGTAACCGGTAACCACTCGACGGTCATTCGCCTGCATCTACAGCTTGAGGATCATGCGTGGGGGGGTGGAAGGGGGGAACAAGGGGGGAACACGAACATCGTGAAGCAAGAAAGGGGGGAGGAGCGAAAAAGAGATGCCGAATCTTCAACAGATAGAATGCGCTCCGCTGTGGGCCCTATTAGTATTGATTAGTCATTAGTCCTCCACTCATTGAGGGTCACACCTTGTCGCCCACACAGGATGCACCCAGACAATAATTGAACCTAATGTGAATCTTCTAATAGGTTGGACATCAGCTGGGTGATTAAATTAGTTTGTATTGACAAGTCGTGAGAGTTCGGTTGGACATCAGCTGGGGCCACTTTAACAGGCCTTTACGGATTCCAACTCCAAATCTACCATTTGAGTTTGCGTGCAAGCTCCCCATTCTTCACCGTCGGAATTCTTGGCTTAAAACCCCAGGAGTTCCATTTCATGCAAGAGTAGATGGCACTTTAGAAGATGTCTTTAGATAGGAGGTCCACATGGCTGTGGACTACTAAGGAGCTCAACCTAGCAGGGTTTGGGGCTCTTTGCGGCTGGTTTTGAGCCAGATAGGGGCTCCGAGAACTTGGGGCTTGTGCCATCTCTCAATCCACTCTATATCCGTTCACCACTTCTGGGTCCAAGTTTCGCTGCTTTTGATCGCTGAACTTTGTTCGGTTTGGTTCGCGCGTCGAAGGGCGGCGAAAGAAAGCGAACTTTGCCTAGGAATTGGTGTCCCAAGCTCTGAACTGGTGAAAAGTTCGGTTCGGCTTTACATTTCGGACACTGAGGGTGCAGGTTTAAGAGGAAGCTGATGTCAGGGATGACACTCCTAGAAGACGCAACAACAAGCCAGTGGCCTTTGATGGCCTGACAGTTCTAACTTAGATCCTTTTTTTTGGTGGGATTTCTAAGGGAATTTCTGCGAATGGGAGCCTTTTTGGGCGAACAAAACCACCGAACTGCGGGAGTGTGCCATCTGAAACCATGTTATGATATTATGTGTCTAGATACAATATATTAATTCTCTCTCTGTATGATGTATGTATGTATAATATATATATATATATGTGCCTACATAAAAACGTCAAATATATGCAAATAATTGTTATTGTATAATGTATATACACACATATGTATCTATCTACACTCCTTTTAGGCAGCTTTTGCTTGTGTGCTGCGACTCACGTGGCCGTGTTTTTTGCCGTGAACGGCGGTTCGCGGCGAGTGTTCCAGGCGGCGGTGGTCTCGGAAGATGAGGCGATCCTGGACGAGCAAGATGGGCAGAAGAAGGCAGCATGTGTGTGTGTGTGCGTGCGTGTTTATGTTTTTAAACGACGTGAAGCGAGTCAGGAGTCTTTTTATTATAGATGCGACTAGACTAGTCACTCTATACTATAATCACATGTTGAACTGTTTTGTTTCTATCCTCCTGAGGTAAGTTCCGGGTGTAGAGGTCCTGCTTTGCAGCCTTAAATTATCTTAACTTGAAAAGCTGTATGAAAAACACACATGGAATCTTTGTTCGTTCGAGCTCGAAAAGCCCGTCCAGCCCACATCAATCAAACACAGTCAAGGCTTTCGATGCATCGTTTGGTCGCGTTTGCTTAAGTGGGCCCCGGCCCCCCGTCAGGAAGATGTCGGGAAAGTCGGTAAAGGGATTCACAGCTCCGGCTCCAACGCGTTGTTTCCATGTTTGATCTACAACCCTCATTGGCTCGAACCATCTCGAACCACACCAGAATCCATCAGAAAGAAGATGAAGTATCAGGAATACCATGGAAGACATCTTCAATCATATTCCTATTAGTGTGATCCATTGCCAATATTGGTGACCTCTTGGAAGCAGCTGGCAACATTTCCTAACCATGCCAAGTCAGTCCAACCACCGAAGGCCAATTTTGTTCCAGACGCACAGTCAGGTGGAGGAGGCCTGGCGTCGCCAACAAGAGCTCCTCCTGGACCTCATCCGCCTCACACAAACCGACCTGGACAAGCCGGCCCGACAGAAGGCGCTTTCTGCCGCAGGTCAGTCAGAAGGAAGAACTCAGCAGATCAATAATATTATTTAAGCAACCGATTAACAGACAATTCTAGCCTGTTGTAGTGGAGGATGGACGCCGACTGAAAACATGTTGGCCGGAAGAAGGAGCATAGAGAAAGGAACAGAGAGAGAGAGAGAGAGGGGGGGCACTGAGGTGATGTGTGCCATCACCCTGGATGCGCACAACCGGGACGTACAGGAGCGATTGGTTCGAGACAAGGTCACTTCGGCGGACGCCTTCCAATGGCAAAGCATGCTGAAGAGCTATTGGATCCTGGATGAAGAACATGAAGCAAATGCGCAGATGCACCTATGACCAAAAGATACTAAAAGTGTGCCAAGAAATGGAAGCAGATTGTTGAAACCATGTTTGAACTAGAAGCTTTATTTAATTATGGTTCTTGCTCACGGACCTGTTAGTGACTAGTGCGATAGAGGCAATATGCGCGCCACCGTGGCAGCCATGTGTTTTCTCCTTCCTTCTCCGGGCGCTGAGGCAGATTTGCGATGCACGCATTTGGTATGCCTACGAATATCTGGGGAACGGACCTCGCCTAGCGGCCCGGCTTTGAAGTTTTTGACGGAAGCCCACCACCACTCCCTGGCTACAGGAACGCCATGCTGATTGACAAAGGTCCAATTTGTACCGACAAGATGTCGTTGGGGCCAAGCATCCCTATGGTGTCGACATCGGCACCCATGTGGACATTGGAAGGGGCTCCTTTTCTTTGATTCACCACTCGTGTTTGGTGATGTTTGGAGCCTGAAACAGGATGTACTTCTTGACTATCGCTCGGGGTGCAGCAACTCTCCAAGGGTCCTGCACAAAAGGAAAGAGATGGAAAGAGTGACCGGGTGAAACTCATCTCATTGGGACCAGGACCCCTCGAAGACTCGGTGTTTCTTTGCCACTTCGGTGCCCGGAAAACCACGGGCATGTCCGGAATCCAAGGGTGCTGGGGGGGGAGATGCCCTTCGACCCTTTTTGGTTCCGAAGTGTTTCGTTGAAACGACCGGGCCCTGCACCTCCGGCCTGAAACCGTTTCAGGTCGTAACTCCCTTAACGGACCGGATCTATGTCACTGCCACCCAAGCACTGCACCTGCACATGGGCTGCGCCCCTGCGGGGCCTGCGGGCACGGGTAAGACGGAGAGTACCAAGGAGTGCGGCGTGCGGGCCGGACGCGACCTGGGGGAGTTGGTTCGCAAGTGGGAGAAGGTGTCATGGCATAGTTTCCCTTAGTCGTGGACTGCTCACTTAGTCACCGCGCAGCAACTGCGTGGTGACTTCAAACTTGGACTGACTTGGCTAGTTGCAGCATGTTGCACTTTCCTGAAGTGTATCAACCCCAGACACTCTATGTATGCCATATATATATATATATGCTAACATTGGGATGGTTTTGGGGGGAGTGTTTGGGATATGATGAAACGGAATTCGCCGAAGTCACCAGAGTCACCGGCGAGGATTTGGCCAACGCTTTGGCACGTGCCTGCTACGTTGCTCGTCGATGTGGGATCCATGGAGGAGTCGAAAAGGTAATGCGATGAGAAGCACAGGATCTCAGGATACATCAGGATATATCAGGATACTATACCGTATGATACCGTATGGGTGTCATTCTTCTCCTTGCAACACTCATGGAAGTGGACAACCACCTGTTTGGTGGAGGAAACTAGTTTTCCAGCATGCCACGCACTCCACGCTTCGATTGTTTTTTTTGGGAGAAGATATCGTCACCTTCCGGCGTCCCACTGTGGCGAAGCTTGGCAGGGCGCTGGTTGGTTGGATCATTTTCCATCCTTTTCCCAGTGAATCCAGTGGCCGGTTGCAACAGTAGTTCGCCAGGTGATCGAAGATGGTTTCAGCGCGAGACAGATGACATTTTCGGCCCACGGAAACGCGCGTGCAAGGTGATCAACGCAGCCCCTGAGATGGACTACCTCACCCTGGGAGTTTTGGCGAACATGGCGTCGAAAACGAACCGTGGGAACACCGACTTGGCCAAGTCACCAGTGGTTTCTTGATGTTTCTTGTGCTATTGCTTTGCAAGGCGGAATCTTCAAACCTTCAGAACCTGGTAAGATCCAAAGTAGTCCTTTTCTTGGACCAGCCTTTCTTAGTCTCGACATTTTGACGGGTCACAACGTTGGGATGGGGCCATTGTGGGGTCCCGACCGGGGGAGATGGCCTTTAGTCAACGACTGAGCCCCATCAGTGGGCCAAATCTGGTGCCCCCTGGACCAATCACCAGAAAAACTTGGCTTAACTAATGAAAAGGAATTTGTCGGTGCCAACGGCAGGCTCCCAAGGCACTCTTTTCAGGTTGGACAGGTCAAGCATCCATGCATCGACAGCATCCACGGAATGTATACCCTTGGACTAGGGGGATGATTTCGGACACCTTTTTGTATTCTATTTGCTTGAGTGCATTTATTTGATTAAATCCGTGCAGCACCAGTGAGTGCAATGTTACGTACCATTATGTACCATTCGCCCCTTGTGGTTGTAAACCCCGTACCTTCCACGGTCAATCCCATGGAACATGCACCTTGGGAATTCATCATCAAGTTTCATCAAATTTCATTGTTTTGTCTTCAGGGCCAGGCTATGCCAGGCTCACATATATAAGTCTCACATAATTGTATAGAAAGCGGTTCGTGTGTGCCTGAAAGAAGGAGAACCCAGAAGAAACCTGCATGAAACTTTGTATGCAACTTTTTGGGGGGGGCCCTCAACATGCTGGATCAAGTAAGCATCGCAAACATGAGGATTGACAAAAGGGCACTGGTATGTAGAACCCCGTAATATTATGAACTATGATGTGTTTGTTTGTAGGTGCAGTGTGCGCAGTTTACCTCTTAAGTTCGTAAAGCGCAACCCAACTTGTAACTGAAAACCATTCCGCATCTCACTATACCACCCTACTCCCCCCCGAACAAGAAAGACACACAAGAGCAGAACAAAAACAGCGCTGTTGGAGGCCTCATCTCATTACCCGATCTCTGAGGGAACATCTTCAAGGGCTTAGCTGCTAGCGGCTCCTGGGGATGTTTCGATGAGTTCAACCGCTTGGTGCCCGAAGTCCTCTCTGTGTGCACGGTGCGGGGCACTTGGGGAAGTTAGAGCCGGAGCGGATCGGGTTCTGGGTGAACTGGAGGAGATTTGCATGGTGTACTGACCCTTATATTTGTAAATATTAGAATGGCTGCAAGTGTAAATTCAATTAGCATCATATATATATATATTATATATGTATTGTATATATTATATTCACATATATTCTATACATATTAAATATGTTTGTAAGTGTCCAAGGACCCATATGGTTCCAATGTGTGTTATGCATGTGAGTTGTCGCCGAATCTTCGGGACTGGCTGAATTGCATTGGTGGTCACCTGTTTCGCTGCTGGGCACACGATCCGACCTCCAGACGACATGCCGGGCTGTTTTTGAGAGATTTGAGAAGAGGGGGGGCGCATCGTACTGCGCCACCTATAGCGGATGGTGGCGGAACTCAAGAAAGCCTTTGAGCCAGAGTCCCCACCCAAGACATTTAGCACTAAGACGGAGCTGGAGCTGATCGATGTGCCACATCCGACCCTTACAGAACAAGAAACAGGTCGAAACAGGGCTCACTGGATGTCACGAATCTTTCAGCACTTCTTAAGCCGGAGGGTTTGGGCCAGACTTTGGCCCCAATCTTCCTCAAACCCGAAAACAGACGGACTTGAAACTCGGCGCTGCACGAGGGAATGCACCAAAAAAACAACACCCATCTCATACCATCTCCGCTCTCCCCTCGCAATGGCGTCCGCTCTTTGCATGGCACCGGACCACTGTCATACTCGTGGCACCGCCACGGAGGTTCAATTCAAGGCGGTGTGCGATGCCCTGCGCCAGCACGCAGCGCGCTTCATTTTGCAGGGCGATGAGATTCAGCTGGACCGAGGCAGATCGAACATGGTGTTGCTGGACAGGGCGGGCCGGCGGAAGTGGAAGATGCATGAAGTGGATGCGGACCTATCCTCGCTTCGCTGGGAGAAAACACCTAACATGTGAAAGGATATGCAATGCAAGGATTATATGCTTTTCAACCAGTGACCAATGTATATATATATATATATGGGTCCACGTAGATGCGGATTGAAACCACTAATACGATACGTACCCCTCCACTCCACAAGAAGGACTTTGGCCGCACGGCGTGGTTGTTTTGGGTTTGCACCGGCAAGCTGAGAAGGGATTGACTGAGCTGAAAGCCTCCCCATGCTGCAAACAACTGCCGCACAGATCAACTCTCTCAACAGTTTCCTCCATATATCAACTCTCTCTCTCTCTCTATATATATATACCCCCCCAAAAAAAAGGTGTGTATATAACATACATCAATATGTTAAAGATACTGTTTTTCTCTATATGTTATATATGACAAACCAATATGTTAGATATAATTAATAACTATATACACCTGTTACCGCCCGTGCTTCCTGCACCAGACATTGACTTCTATAGAGCCCCGACCGAGCCGGGCGACGACGTCCGCCGCGGCGGAGGTGTGGGGGTCTTCATCACCATGAACCCGGGCTACTTGGGCCGTAGTGAGCTGCCCGAAGGCTTGAAGGCACTCTTCCGGCCCATTACGGTGATGGTGCCCGACTTCATGCTCATCATGGAGAACATGTGGCCTGGCCGACGCGGAGGGCGGAGACAGGGAGGTGGTTCGTTTCGGCCCGCGGGGAGTGGTAAGAGACGGGGGACAGGCGGATAGGGCCGGGGGCGGTTTTTTTGGTTTGAAAGGTGTGCTTTTTGGCTCACCAGGCACTGACAGACCAGCACTGGGAGACCGGGGAGAGGGGCTCAAAAAGAAAGAGCATCCATGGACTTATTGAGATGAACGTGGATTTTCTACGTATTGAGATGCAGTGTGGCTAAAAGTGGGCCATGCTAGGCTGAGGTGGCAGACTTCGGCGCAATCCTAGGCGATGTCGAGTAACATCCAAGCGACCGACCAGCCCAAGCGGCGGCAAGCAGGTGAAGAATGGTGATGACAAAGCCATGACAAGGCACTTATACCCCGGATATATTGCAGTCGCCTCCATCAAAAGGATGTTTGCAATATATAACACTCTTATAACATAAAAGGTGATAACGTTGCTGTTTTCTAGTGGAACATCAACTACACCCGTTCTTTGCCTATTATATTGCCTCCAGTCCCCCCACAGATGCCAATCTGTTGATCTCGCATTCTTTCTCGCAGACCAGCTCGTACAGCTTGCCATGGACACCCAAACCGGCGGGTTCTAGTTCTGAACCCAAAACCGTCCGCTGTTCGCGTCGTCACTTTCACCCCCCCAGTTCGGAACGGTCGCACGAACCCCCGCGCTTCTCAGGTTCATGTCCGAGGGCTTCTTAGACGCCAAAAAGTTGGCACTCAAGTTTTCCACCCTCTACGCGCTGAACAAGGACGGTCGTGGCGCGAGCCACTCCGAACCATGCCGGCGAAGCGAGCGCGACTCCATGTACCTTTTTGCGCCTGCCGGCATGCCGCAAAAGGTAGTTCCGGCTCATCAGGTCATGTATGTATATTTTAAGGTTCATGTACTTCACATGTATATGTAATATACGGCTGAGATCTTTGAGCACTCCAGAATACAGAACAGTTAGTAGAACAGTGATATATATATATATATTATAATATATATATATATACTGGACGTGATCACTTGGTTGCATTCAATGGACAAAGATCCCTTTAGTAGAATTTGCACGAATTCGCCATAAACATATGGAGGATTGGCCAAAACCAGGGATGACCACAAATACTTTCCGTTCACGTTTTCCTCCATGGCACATGGGCCAACGTTCTTGAGTTAACTTGAGTGGGCCCCTTGTGCGGAAAGGGGCTGAAGGAAAATCATCTTAGATGGAGAAGAGCCAGTAGACGATTTGTTCATTAATTCACAGACACTCCGTGTGCCATATATATGCCTACATTGGGGTGGTTTTGGGGGTCCATGGGGCCGCAGTCCTATGGCAGTCCCATGTGTCGTGTTTGGGATTGTTGTATTCGCAGTGTGTTTGGTGCTTCGCAGTGTGTTCGACGGCTCGACCAATCCCATGGGCCCCTTGTTGAAAGATGTGGAGCATCCTGGGACCTCCCAGCTGTAACCACCCTGGGCTGTTTTGTCTCGCCGTTTGTTCTTCTCTTGGGGGGGTGACTGAGAAGCGCGGGCGCGTCCTCAGCAGATGTGGGGATGGTGGAAGCTTCTCACCATATGGCCGGACTCCATTACGAGAGAGAGAGAGAGAGATGTCATGTGTGGTTTGGGATGTGGATCTCATGTAGACCCTTGATGAATAAAGCATCCCATATATGAAAAGGTCTTACCGTCCATGTTTGGGAGGTTTGAATCTACATTACCCGGACCCTCCCCCAGAGGCATACTGAAGGACATGTTTCAAACCCATCAGTGAGTGAATCGCAGCGGTCAAGTGGGCGCATCCCATTGGCACAGCTTTGGAGGACCTCTTGTCCAAATCGAACAAGTACGAGTCTCGCCAGAGATCTGATTGGGGTCTAGGAGAACATCTCATCTATGGTTTTACCATTGTTTTCACTCCCTGAAGCAATACCCTGAAAGAGGTTGACGTGGTGATACCTTACACCCGGTCCGGCATGCTAAAGCTTTGCGCTGTTCGGTTCTGACTGGAAGACATGTGGGAACCGTTTGTTGATTTTTAGTTACACTCTGACTCACTAACATATGGAAGTATATAGATGCCACTTCCATGCTAGTGTGCCGGAGTATGATTGGTGTTTGACCAAGTTGTGTATGCCAATTTATTGTTCGAACTTATTCCGGACCCTGGTTGGGCTGATGCGAAGGTTTCCCAGGCTGCACCACCCACAGGCTGCACCGTGTGCCAACAATGAAGTATAGGTCCCCCCAAAAGTTTTGACGTTGCTTGGGTTGGGATGGACCTACCTTGACTGTTTTGTTTAGTGATTGGGATGGATTGATGTCCAAAAAAAAGGCGGTTTTGTTGCCAAGGTTGAGTCAGCAGTTTGCATCCCTATTCAAGTCGCCCTTCCCCTTCCAGTCCAATTCATGCAGGGAAGTCCCAAGTTCAGGCGATTTGGAGTCACATGGAACGACTGGATGGCTACCTATGGCTACCTGGAATTTCTAGGAATGATGACTTGGATGAGTGAGAAGGAGCTTTAGATGGCCGAATCCATCTCCGTGCGGGTTTGGGGTGGCGCGTTTTCCGAGGATTGGGGTATGCGTGCCATCAAGTCAGTGCTTGTGGTGGCAGGTGGCTTCAAGCGCGCGGACCCACGCCTTTCCGAGCAGGCGAGGAAAGCTTGGTGGTGAAGAGCCAGGCTGGTCCAAGAAGCCCAGGATAGCAAAGGTACCTGACGCAGAACTACTTAATAAGCTACACGTATAAAAAGATCCAGAACAAGACATAATCCATTTTATTAGCATGGTATTAGCAATAAAGCTTTGAACTGTCAAAATGCTCAACATACATCTATAATCGCCGTAGGCTAGAATCTTCTGGACCAGAAAGGTTATTTGCTGTAGCCTTAGGCTTCTTGGTCTATCTTTCGGTTTGAGATGCACCCCTCAATTACACAAGATGGGCTAGCGGCTAGCCGTTCATTTTTTCGGCTGCGGTCCTGACAAGTGAAAAGCATCGACCGAGACACCTATCGGCGTCTTGCCACGACGCCACGACTGATCCGACCCGCCGGTGACAGGTCCAAGGTTCGGTGGCCGATGCTTCCGGTGGATTCCGCCGTTGTCAACGAAGCCGGCAGGCGGTTCTCATGCGATCTTTGCGGGACACCAACGTGGCCAAGATCGAAGGAGAGAGCGTGTTGTGGTCCACAGCGATATGGGTGTCGTAACTTCGGGAGACACCCTGGTTGAATGAGTAGGGATGGTCTATTCTTATCAAACCTTCCAGGGGGGTCGTTGCCTGGGAGGTCTCCCTATACTTTAATGCACACCCTTATCGCCATCAACCGAAGATGGTTCAAACATGTTCAAACACGGGAGAGCTAGCTGAAGTTTCCTTATTTTGTGCTTTTTTAAAGATATATATGATGATGCATGCAGCTGTTGGGACTATAGTGGTGACCTCCCAACTGACCTCCGTTTCCACCCGTTGGTCCCTCTCCCCCTTGAAGGGTCCCTCTCCGATGTCTGAAGGGCTCGGGGGGGGTCCGGTGCGGAGCCGGAGAAAGGGGCACCAGTTCGACCCAAACGCCGGTGAAAGCCGGTGACTGGGGCTTCAACGCCCAGTCATGCAACATCAGCTGCAGCTACTGAGTTTACTACATGTTAGATCCCACTCTCCTCAGATCTCTTGGTTTTGATGGATCTATAATCGCAGCCATGTGTGTCCAATCTATACTGTATATGACTTTATGCAAAAACAACTTGCTTCAAGCGGTTGGTTCTATATATACTATTATGCAATGGTTCAACAACACAAATTCAACACGTGAAAACACGTCACACGTCCTGCGTGCGTCCTGCCTTGGCATTCAGCTGAAGGAGATGATTTGAAGATCTTCATGGGACTTTTGGCGGACCTTTTCCCAGGAGTCCAGGTCCCCGGCTGAGTTGATCAACGCTTGGCATGTATATCTCTGGACCTTGATGTATGTCTCTCTACGCATATGTATGTATTCACCTGTGCAGAACGAAGGTGTTTATACTTTAGATATAGTAATTAGTCTATATATATATATATATATATTATACACACACCAGACACCTACCAGCACCACCCAAAGGGCCCAAAGGGCCGCCATTGGAAGAACAATGCAAAGTCAGTGGGATCTATAAACAAAAGTATGATATATATATATATATAACACCCTTTTTGAATAGTGCAGGTGTGTGTTGTCTACTGTAGTTATTTATTTCGATACATTATGAGATATTGTATTCTTGGCACCCTGCCATACTCACGTCCAGTCCACACCCGCTGAGAGCGGGGTCCTGGGCGCCCCTTCTTCATGCAAACAGGTCTCGGATAATCCGCATGGTTCATCATACCCAGACCATCCATGTATGGAATGGTTACTTGCATTTAAAGGGTGATAAATGGGATAAATAGTATGTGTCCACGAGGTTTTGTGATCCTTTCTGGATTCTCCAACATATGTACACCCTGTCTTTATATATATATATATATATAAAATATACGCCCCTCCGTTTGATGCAGCTGTTTGACTGAAAGACTTATATTTGACCCACATCCAGTGACTCTTCCTGAATTGTGCAGGTGCCACGAGCGAGGGATACTGAGTTCGAAGAGATTGTGGTGGACACGATGGAAAATGAGCCGCTTGGCCTGGTCTTTTCGTAAGGTTTAGTGGAGCACGAGCCAAGCGATGCCCTTTATTTGTTCGGACGATTGCCTTGCCAGGTACTTTTTGGGCTAGGCCGCCACATGCCATGTCCCCCAAACAAATACAAAAGAGCTATGTCAGCTATGTTGGATTTCAGTTGTATTTCTAGTTCCGGTGCTACGAGGTGGATCAGTCCGTCGTGCCTGCAGGGTGGATCGCTGGCTTTGAACCAAGCGCTGGTTTGAGCAGTACATACACGTTGCATGCAGGTGCTTGCAACTCTTTCCTTTGTGCCCACATGCACGCAAGCGCAACTTCTCAAAAATTGGGTCCAGTGGCCCACTTCAAACGCTCTCAACAAGTCAGTAGGCTCTCGGATGCCTTTGTAAGGGCATGACTTGTCGATTCTACCTGCCTGATGTTCCTGGGTGGCTCAGAATCCCCGCAAGCGCAGAAAAGACGATGTCAGCACTTTTCCCCAGAAATCCGCCCCAAAGTTCACCTCACATGGCCGCCATACTTTGACCCGGATAGAGGTTCGGCTTCACCAATGACCCAGATGGATATTTGCTGCTGCAGCTGGGCAAGAAAACGGTCTACTCTCACCGCCGTTGCGGCACTGAGAGATGGGATTGTTGCAGCGGTTTCTCCCGTGGGCCGTTGCATGCCGTTGCTGTTTGGCTGATCCAACATCAGCTGCCCAGTCTTGACAGATTCATGTGAAAAGGAAACAATATGCATGCAGACAACCTCAGCTGGTGCAAAGCCCTGGGCCATAGGTTGCATCCCACACACACAGACACACAAACACACACATATATATATAGTCATATATACAGAGGTATATGCAGACATATACCCGGGGGTGTATTCTAAAACAGGAGACCTCTCTCTATCACCTACCAGCACCCTCCAACAGGTCTTCTCTGGTGGCTTTTTGAGACTTAAAAGTGGCAGGTGGTGACCTGTTACATCAGCCACTTCTTTTTGTCTCTATCTCTCTGTCTTCAGCTCTGGGTTGTACATAGACCACCTGCCACCTTACCTTGCATTAACATGGAACGCGGAAAACAGCTTATTTGTGGAGAAAAATGGGTGTCCAGTGGACTATTGTTTGCTTCTATGATTAGCTCAGGGAGTGTACCGCACCGCTTGGTGTGCATTGGTGGTCTCTCAGTGCTTTCCTCACCGGTTCAGGAAAATCTCTCAGCTGATCGAATTGCTGGATATTCGCCATTCGGTCTTCCTCATGGGCAATCCTGGAAGCTGCCTGGCTGGAGACACACCTGGGCTCCGGTGTGGGGTCGGTGTTCTGGACTCTCGACACTTGTGGATAGATTGCAGGCAAACAGGTGGGGAAAAGGTCCACAGCTCGTATGTACGGCCACCGCTGGCTGCACACGATTCGTGCAGAATCACGGACCACGGCTGCATGAGCCGGCTGGCCGGCTGGGTGTAATCAAGTGCCGAAGCCACGCGTGTCCACGTAAGAGAAAGAACCTTGGACGTCCACACCCCGGAGCCTCACCAACAGCTCATCATACATACCCGTTCGTTGGAACTTCGTTGTGGGTCCTGGCTAGTGAACTTGGTTGGAGGGCTGGCAACGGGTTCTTAAGGACGGACTGATGAGGGGGAGAGGGTGTTGAAAAGGCCTGCAAACACTCTTTTACATGCTTTATGGTGTCCTGGCACTAGGATTCGGATGTCGCCACCCAACAAATGGGGCTTCTCAAACTCCTCCATGAAGATCCTTTCTTCCAGCCCTTGGCACTTGAGATTGGATCCTGAGCCCTGCGAATGGATCCTCGCAGGGACTCCTCATAGGAAAGTGAATGAAAAAACAATAGTTTGGAGTGCCCCTACTTCTTGCTGCTGTCTTGCAAATGTTTGTTTTATCACACCCGCGTGAGCCTGTTTTCTTTTTTCTCGGACCCCGCGTGAGAGGCTTCAAGTCTTTCCTGTGGAAAGTCCTCAAGAATGCCAAGACGAAGCGGGGCGACAAGACGACGGTGGTGGATTTCAGCCCAAAAGCCATTTCCACCAACGAGCTGTATCTTGGATGGCGCCATACATCTTCTCATGCCGATATATCTACGTACTGCTAAGCTATGAAACAAGAGGTTGAGGAGATGAACTTTAGTGAATTCTGCACATTCTGGAAGAGAAAGAGGGTAGCTCACCGCGATTCTTGCACAGCTATGAACGCTCCGTCATTTTGATTCTTTGATCTAACATGTGCACAAACATGAAGACACACATCTGGGTGCAATTGTCCTAAGCAAACATAGCTGTACATTTGCAGACCCACAACACTGCTCCAATGCAACTCATGTCTAACAGTCTAACTAACAAACATGGACAGGTACCCTGCGCCTGTGGCCAAACAACCTACGAACCCCTGCAGGAAAGAGCCCCTCGTTCTGGCCAACCCGGGCAACCCTAGGATGTAACTCTTGCTTTGCCGGTTGGTTCCAAACGCGAGCTGGGCGTGACGAGGTATGGCAGCGTGAACATGCACACCCGTGAGTGGAAGGATGGCATTTTGTCCAAGACCATGCGCGACCTGGGGCAGATCCCTGACACGCATCCCAAGTGGATCATGCTGGATGGCGATTTGGACGCCAACTGGATTGAGTCCATGACACTTGCCATGCAAAGGGTGGTGCTTTCGGAGTAACATGGACTGGAGAAACCAATGTCACATTCTACGTTGGATCCCCCAAGATTCTGGGCATTTGCATTTGCATCCAGGGGTCTGCCAGTCGCACCGTCCACCAGGTGCCACCCGCTTTCGTTTCACGAGTTTCCGGCATCCAAACGAACAACCCGGGGCAAACCTGCACACGGAATGTGTTTCTTTTTTGTAAGGGGCAAGTCGTGACCTGTTGCCATTTTCTAAGATTTTTTCTGTATTATATACATATCCCAATCTCCCATCATCCTAGACAGCTTGCCCCCTGACCAAACAGCTTGCTTCCCGGATCTTTTCCGGGCAGGTTGAGAAACGGCTTCTTTCCTAAGAAAAAGACGGAACAAGTGTCAGCACAAAAGCATCAAAAAGCGCCGGGCCGCCTCCAATGCCAAAGCCGCGCCAGCGAGTCGCCGGACTATCATCACCTCCCTGTCCAGGAACAGCGTGATGGATGATAGTCGCTTGCTCACGTTGCCCTCCAATGAGCGAATTCCCTTGAAGCTGCACATGACGCTCGGCTCGGCCCGGCTCGGTCGTTGGTCGGCGGCGAAAGCCACGAGGAAGGTGAAGGTGGTGAACTGGACACCCGTGCGACCGAGACGCCACAAGTTCGTTTGGTGAGTTGCTTCATTCGTTGTTTTTCACCCAGTTATACACTGCATAATGTTGAAACTGTAATATGCACAAATAGGTCAATAGGTACACTCCCGAAAACTAACATAGACCCTGACAATGGTCCCATGGAAGACTATTTTCCTCTACCAACCAGGGGTTTTCAGGTTCCATGTTAGTCTTCCAGGGTGTACTAATATATATATATATATATACCGATACCCTCGGAGTCAAAGACTACAGAGATTGGCCGGTCAAAATATAGTCTTTGGACTTCTAGGGTGTATACAATATATTGTTATATGTGTAAGACTCAAGACAGAGGCGCCCAGATGTGAGTTGTTTCATCCGTTTTTTCTAAGTTATTGTGCTTTTGAACTCTATTGAAGTCGCAACTGTGCTGGAGTGATGTTCTTTGGAGAAGGAGTGCTTGACTCGTCTCCGGATTCCTCAAGCTGCTTCACTTGTCACAAGGCTCCCCATTTTTGGGCAATCAACATCGAACGGCAAGGGCTCCAAGATGAGATATCGTTGTTCATGTCCGTGCAGCATATGATTCTGACCTGTTTCTTGAGAATGGACCGGTGGTTTCGACCATTTTCCTCACCAACTTCATGGTTTTGGGGTTCCATGTGGTCCGAATAGCAGCGAGTGACTCCCAAAAACCCGATCTGCGAGATGATCGGCGAAGGAAGATGATCTTCGAGATCCGCGACTTAAACTATGCCACCCCGGCCACCGCCACCCGCGCGGGCATCGTGCGGCTTGGTTTGGAGCGCCCAAAACCTGGCAGGTGTGGCTCAAAACCTGTGAAATGACGATTCCTATAGGTCAGGGATGTCAAGCCTGTCAAGCTACCAATGGTTTGTTGGGAGAGGGTTCTTAAATGTTGTTAAGACATATGTGGGTCTTGAAGCGCCATGAGTTTGGTTTCTCATCAAGAGCTGAAGCTCGATGTAGTTTGCACAAGAGTTTCAAAGGCCCACACCTGGCAAGGTACCCCCCCCAAGAGAACTCGCAGCGATCAAAGCCTTGCCATGAGGTGTTGGGGGCTTGACCCAAGCCTTCCCATGAGGTGACAAGCCTTTTTTCCAGCAACAGAACTAGAGAAGGACTGTCCTTGTTTTCCACGCCCATTGGTTTCCAATGGCCACTTTTACAATCCAAATAGGACTTATTGAGCGCGAGACCACAAGATCGAAACTCATTCTACTGACGGCTTGATTTTGTTTGACCAAGTCCCAATGGATGCATCCAAGACACCCCACGGCTTGCGCATGCTTGCGCCTTCACAGCCGCTGCTCCAGGTGTATGTCGGACAAAGAAGGGGTCCAATGGCAGTGCTATGTGAAGTCCTGGGTGAAAAAGCTCTCATATTCGGACACTGTCAAGGAGTCCGTTGGCGACGGATGGAACACATACCCATGCTGGAAGTGTTCTTCGTGGATCACCTTGGGGGACCATTGGGGACGCCCCACTCAGATCCGACTGGTGGAAATGGTGGACATCACTGGTGGGAATGGAATGGGGGATGACCCCAGTTTTCCGGCCTGTTTGGCTTCCACACTAGTTCAACACAGATCTTTTGCTGCAACTGCTTTGTTGTTGTTTGTGCTTCACCCCTCTCCCTAACTGCGCCAGGAGCAATTATCCAACTTCTTCCAGAAGTACTGCCCGCCGACCTTGGCCTGGATTCGAGCCTCAGCACCTTAGGTCGTCTTGTCATTTGCCTTTGATGCATCCCCAGGGCTCCACGCCTAGAGTTTCTATGGAGTTTGACAAGATCACATGAGTTTTTTATGCACGCCCCAGATTGAACATATTTTCGCGCGGGGTTGGTGTATGTGTTCTTTATATAGCATATTAAGAAACGTTTCTTTTTCCATCAAATCCCGTGCATCGCTTCGTTTGCCCAGTGGTCCCCACCCAAACTAAAAAGAACTCCCGATCAGCCGACCTGTGTGGTGGCATCAACTGCTCCCCCGACCTGGTTGCTTTGTGTCCGCCCGGCTCAAGTTCCGATATGTTCCATTGGCCATCCATGTAGAGGATCACAAACCATATCCATATGGAATTTGCTAGACAGACAGCTATGGATGCTTCGTTTGCATGTTCCATCTTGGGGTGATGTTCATCGCAAAATGAGCGGTGCCCTGCTGGACTCCGATGACCACATATTATATATACATATATGATGCCATCCGCATGCTTCTTTGCCAGGAAAGACGGCCAAGCTGCAAGTGCCATATGTTGAGATCTCCTTGGTGAGCTCCTTATGCAGCTTGGGATAGCATGGCCTAAGGCATGGCCTAACGATTCAGCGAGTGGATATTTTTACAGTAATTAAAGAGCAGCGCATGTTTTTGTGCCTTTTGCCCCAGAGGCTGGAAGCGTTTACTATATAAATATGTCGTCCGTCGATTTCAAAAGCAAATACTGTACTGCCCGGGATGGTTCAAAATCCCCACATGATGTTTCTTTTGTCAATCCTCAAGATTCAACATTACTTTGAGCTTCGTCCAAGGCAGTTTGTTAGACGCCCGCTTGACCTCTCAGAATTTGGCGTCTCAGCTCGCAAAGTGCGGTCGGATGCGTGGGATGTTAAAGTGATCAAGGAGATACTTGCAGCTAACCTGGTCACCCTGTTGTCCCGAGAGCCAAAACCTCTTAGATTTGGTGCCAACACAAGTTTGCATATTTTGTCAACTGCGGGGGGGGAAACAGCGCAACTGTTTACACAGAGGGGCACAGAGAGGAGTATGAAACCGCATCTCATCCAGCTTTCTTCAGACGCCCGGGCTATACTTGCAAGGCGGTCGAAAGTCCTCCTATGATGTTGACGAACACATCACACACTGCCTCGCCTCGAGGCGTACTTCCCAATTCATCCCAGCTCGGCGTCGGTGGTCGCACATCCGGCGCTCGGTCGCAACGCGACCGGGTCCTGAACCAGGAGTCCTTGGAAACCTGGTTTGCCTTCAGCACCATCTTCGCCACGGGCAGTTGTCTGGCAGAGGTGGATGGCGTCGACTACCGGAAGGCCTTCAGCAACTGGTGGAAGACGGAGACACCTGGAGGTGTTATCAGATGGCGAGATGATTCCTTTCAGATCTTTCAGCCAGCCCAAAGGTTGTTCTTCCCATAGGATTGGGGTGTTGTTCGGCCGTTTGGTGGGGATGGCTTGAAGTACAGAGTTGCTTTGGCGGGGGGCCTGTCCAGCAACGATATTGGTTCCTGGAGTGTTTATGGCGCATGATGGCGCACACCCCTAGAGGTGTTTTTGGGTTATTTTTGGATGGGGGTCCAACTCTCAGTGCCATCTGCTCTTAATCCGCTAATTCTAACTAGGTGGAAGCCTGAGACTTCCAGCCACACCTGAGACTTCCAGCCACACACCTCCTAAGATTAAGCTTTTAAGGATGGAACCTGAAGAGACCGGCATCATGTGTTTCATCAGCATGTTCCACGAAAAGGCAAGGGAGAATCTGGTGCATCATGACAGCATTGGTCACCATGCACCAGGTTAATAAGACTCGTTATAAGACTCGTTGCCGACAAATTCCATCCTTACCTGCCAAAAGTTTATTAATACACTCCGGGGGATGGTCGTCAACAGGCAATGTGGGTTGCCACCCTGGCGAACCCAACAGCTTCCTCAGCTTCGAACATGTCTAAGACGGCTCAGCCCATCGCAACCAACGGGTCGAGATGAGAAGATCACCCAGTCTGGCGATCGCCTCGCATGGCCTTTAACCCCCAGTACTAGTCCAGTTCGACTTCGGTGACTGACTGAAGTACAGGAACATGGAACATGCCTTCGTCACCGTTCGAGTTATCGTTCGAGGCCTCAGACCATCCCAGGGGTCTCCCGAGCCGCGGAGCGTGGTCAGCGCGAACACGGCCGGGGTGCCGAGGATGAAGACGGTGAAGTATCCCACCAAAGGCTTGGTCTTCGACCTCTACGTGCGAGACATGCGGCTGGAGGACAGGAAGACGGTGGGGAGGAGGCTCAGCAGGTTCGGAAACCGTTTTTCATGGTTCGACCTACAGCAGGGGGGATGGGATGTATGGCATATGGATACATTTTTGGTTCAACGAAACGGGCGAGTTGAGGAGTGGAGTCAAGCATAGTCAAGCTATAGGAAACAGGTGGTAAACAGCAGTTGGACGGCAATCTGCTCAGGAGGGATGTTGCTTTAACTATAAAACATTATAAAACCTCCTCATGATCATCGATCCAACGTTTACGGTGAGTATGGCTGATAGCGTGATGCCCCATTACTGTAAGTCATACAACCATGGCAGTAACCATGGCACACATCAACACACTCCCTAGGGCTCCAACCATATCCTCAGAAGGTGGTTAGACCCCCCCAACCCCCCCCCCCCCACCCCCCTACCCCGGATGTAGGCCAGAAGCCCTAAAGACTCATAGGGACTATACCAAGAAAAAGCTTCCAAGGCCCCCCCATTTACCGACCTACCGGACACCAGAGAACGTGGCGCCACCACACCCATGGGTGAGCTGCCCCTCTCTCACCCTGCTCCTCTCACCGGCAGGAATGGAGCGGTTTGGTGGAGCCGATCCACTACCGATCCACCACACCCATGGGTGAGATCACCGTCCCCACCACCGAAACCGTTTGCACCTGGGCAGACGCTTCCCGTCGACCGGTGTACCGGAGTCCGGTGTGTGCGGGCGAGGGTCGGTCGAGACGTTGTAGCTCAGTTGACATCTTAACCTTGGGGAGGTCGCAGGGGTTTAGGAGACTTAAACGCCAAGAAAGACCCCGTCCCCATTGGCCTGAATCATCAAAACGCATGTTGATGCATGTTGGATTGGCCGTCCAACTGTGAATCTGAAGCATCCGGGGTACTGTAGGCCTTGGAGCTTCGGATTCTCAATTTCCGACTGAGAAAGCTCTCGCTCCAGTAGAGAGCCAGAGTGTGCTAAAGAGACCACCCAAAAGAACCAACTCACAATCATCCTAATGTGGATGTGTGAGAACAGGGCCCTAGGAGGACTTTCCCATTACGTATTCAACCCCCGTTGAGTGTTCATCTTGCAGAGGGGTCCCCCTACTCCAAAACACACACACGTTTCTCTTGCTCCAGGCAGCTACATACCCCACTGAAAACTAACATGGACCTTGAAAATCAATGAAAACCACTGGTTTCTATTCGCAACATCGTCTTCCACCACCGGTGAATTTTTCTGGTTCCATGGGATCGTGACAGCGGGAGTGGAGCAGTTTTTTTGGAACACTGGAGTATCCTGGAGTGAATCTGGGGGCTTTCGCCAGGTCTGGATTACTTCATGAGAGCTTTGATCGAGGTGCAACACCCGGCCGCTTGGTCCTCCATGTCGGAAGGTTCACGGCGCTTGTTCCGTGGGCGCACCGTTGGCAGTTGAACGTTGTACGTTTTAAAACATATGTTTAAAGACATATATGGTGAGTAGTGTGAGAGAGCTGGGTTTGGGGTCACATGTTTTGTATTAAATTGTTAAATTTTATCATTTTAAAACTATTGTAGCATCATAATTGTTACTATTAACTATCCTAGTGGGATCTGACGATTCCATATAGGTGATATATATATATATATATGGGATTATATGGGAATGTATTTTTTCGTTCCTTTGCTGCAGCAGACTTGGGCTGCGGCCACTTCTTGTTTTTTTGTTTTACTTTTGGGACTCCCAACAGAGATGGGAACCACCCACTTTGCTTTGGTGCTTGACCATGAAGGGGTAGATTTGGGAAGTCCCAAAGAAAGCTTGGCTGAGAATAGTCCAAAGTACGTACAATCCACCCAACTGAACATGAGTTACCTCCAGCTCATTGATATCCTGACCGCCTTCTCTCAGGTGATGCTCATTGGCTTGGCAGGTTGCGGCAAGACGCAGTCCTGTACGGGATTGCTCAAGAAGCTGAATCATGAGGCCGTGCCGAGGGCTGCGTCGGATGACCAGTTGGGTGGGAAGGGAACGACCGAGAGGCGATGGTCTCCACTCAGCGCTGGACTGCTCGGACTTCCTGTTTTCTCATCAATTTCTATATGGCCCAGACGCTCCATGTCTCCATGGGCCATGTATGGAATGCCTACATTGGGCGTGGTTTTCATAGTTCAATGTGATATTCCATACATGGAGTGTTTGGGATAGAGTTTTTGATTCAGGTGCTCGCAGGTGTTGCTTCCTAGTGGCGGCTAGTGATCATTTGCCAGTACATAGGCTTCAAGGCTTTGGCGCTTGGCTGTCCTGAAACATTGATAATGAACTAAGATGAGTGCTTTCGGGCGGACAACTGAAGAAAATCCACAGGTTAGAAAATTGAATGAACAATGGTGAAGAATAGCATCTCAATCCACCTTTTCTATATATATATAGAGAGAGAGACCATGTAGTCTTTCAATAGTTTAAATGGTGTGTAGAAAAACGGACCTTTTCTCCTTTTCTCCTGCAAGAGCCCCTGCAAGAGCGACCTGTGCGCACCAGTGTGTTGAGCAATTTGCAGCGGGAAGGTCCATTGGTGGCCATGTTAGGCCGAGCTGTTGCTGTTTGCCAAGCTCGATCCATGATCCATTCCTTCTTTGGCATGTGAATTGGGTATAAATGTATGTTTATACGCTGATATATATATATATATATCCACTGTATATGACAAGTACGCCTGCATTATTCTCGTGTTTTCTGAGTAGGTGGTCGGCGCATGCCCAAATCGATAGCACCAGACACATTGATAGACACCGACAAGTAAGCTAGTGGGTATAACATGGTATAACGAGTGATCAGACCAGATCAGACCGTCGGTCGCACCGCCCCGTGAGGTCTTCATGGGTTACAAGATGAACATGAGCTATTACACAGATTCCGCCATGCTACAGACGATGATGGAGATCCCGCTGGAAAAGAAAGCGGGAAAGCTGTATGCCCCACCTGGCAAGCTGCAGATGATGCTTCACATGAACTGGTGAGTTGATAGATTTGTCCCCGCGGTCGCCGAGAATTGACGCGATACTTTCGAGATGTTTTCGACCATGTTCCGAGATACCAACCTGGGTTCCATGATGTTCCATGTGATTCCATGATGTTCATGTGGTTCCATGTGATTCCATGATGTTCCATGTGGTTCCATGTGATTCCATGATGTTCCATGATGTTCCATGTGGGGAGTCCCCCAGTGGGGAGTATGAAATACCCACCAGTTGTGACATGACCCTCTCACCCAACCAGCCAACGCCGGACCGATCGACGGCGATCTGCGGGTGGGACGAAACGTCCGGTTCCGGAGCCGCAGGTCCAACGGGGGACCTCCTAAGTCGATGACGAATGAATCAGAATCATGTGTTTCTCATGTTTTGTGTGTTTTTTTTTTTTTTTTTTATGTTTGTTTAAGTCAATCAGAATCATTTGTGTATCATGTTTGTTGTGGTTTCTGATTTTGGTTCCTTCCCTTCTCTGCATAGTACAAACATATTTTTTTTTCCCCCCTAAACATCCCTAAACCGTCGGACCCTCGTCCCGGGGGTGAACAATCATAAAACATGACCTTACTCAAGCGAAGTCCATTGGGGATTCATGGTCCCAGTTCCGGCACTTCCAATGGGCTCGATACATAGTCAGCACCCGATGCCGCAACTCTCCGTGTGCCATTTGCCGGTTTCAAAGGCTGCGATGTGCTGCAGCCCAATGCAGAGTTGTTGTTTGTTTCATATTTCAGAGTCCTGAAGAAATACACGTATTTTAATCCTTGAGAAAGGAACATTTATCGTTTAGTCTATTTGTTGTTCAGACCAATCAGGCAGTTGTTTTCAGATGAAACAAATACCTCCCGATCTTGGGACTTGGATCCAAGGATCTACTTCATCGATGACTTGAACATGCCTGCCTTAGACAAGTACAACACACAGTCAGCCATCGAACTCATCAAACAGAAGCAGGACTACAACCATTGGTATGACCGCGCCAAGATTCAGATCAAGGTCCGCAGCGGGATTTAGGGTTTTTTTGATCGTGGGGGCGTTCCGTTCACCGCTTGACAATTTTGCCTGGAGAAGGGAAGAAGGAAGGCAGTGAAGGGTGTCACCCTCATGCTTTGCTTGGATAAGACTGCCAGGGCAGTCCGAGGCCTTACAGAAGTCCTGGTAGTTCCTGGAGTGCGGATGGTAACCGCTGGTCGCTTCAAAGCCTTCTTGGCATGAATGCCACATCATCCATATCCCCTATCTTAACAGCCTAGTCATGCACGAACAAGTTCTCCTGCGTCTGATGATGATGATGATGATGATGATGATGAATGTTGTAGAACTGGGCATGCGCGAACTAAACTATACATATATATGATATGTGGAACCAATAAAGCAACATAAATAAACACATATATGCCACAGTAAAGTCTCTAATATTAATTACATATACATACAGAGAGGGTTGATGGATCAACCCCCCCCAAAACAAAGAAACAGCTACACACAACCACACGCTGTCATCGCACACCGGTGTTCCCCAACCTCTTCCTTCGGACCTGTCACAAGGACATCGGATCCACGCAGTACCTCTGCTGCATGAACCCCACGGCGGGCTCCTTCACGGTGAACCAGCGGCTCCAGCGACACTTCTGGACCTGCTCGGTGCAGTTCCCGGAGCAAAACGCGCTCAATGTGCCTGGGCGGAACGCAGTGGCGGAACTTGGAAGCGGCAAGCGCTTCATCATGCGCATGCGGAGGGGGGTGTTTAAAGGAGCTCAGAAGAGTTTGCGTGAGATGGTCCAGGCATAGATCATGTTCATACAAGCACTGTGACTATGTGTGGTCCTTTTCAAGCAGCATAGGGATGCATAGGGCTATACTGGGCTGGTATATAGGGCTCAAGGTTCCTTTAGCTTGACTATAGATTGACCAGGTGGCAATGCAGTGGAACACGCCCATCAACCAGACGTTGGGCAGACTCTGATATTTTATCCATTTTGTATTCGGAAAGATGTTGCATCAGAAGCCGTGCGACTTCCAAAGCCGAGGTGATCTATGCCACATTCATGTCACTTGGTACGGTGCACGCGTTTCCAAGACACGAACTGGTGGTCTTGGACGCAGAAGGTTGCTGCGTCATAGGCCAACACCCCAAGTTCTGGACTGCTCCATGATCCAACCCTCCAAAAAATACGAAACACGAAATCCGGTAGCTTTGGAACATGTTGAAATGTGGAGAGGACGTCTTTTTTGATTGTTTGTCCAACTAAGACAGTGACATAGTCCTGGGCTGTCTTCAAGATGTTTTTTTTTTCAACTTCCGGCTTTGTTATTCTCAAGGTGATAGAGACGATAGAGAGGAAAAATCAAGAGTAGCCAAATCTAGGGCAGCCAGGGAGCATTGCTGATTGACGAGAGGTTCTGGTACCTGGACTCCAATGTCACATGGGCAGGCTATTGGCGCTATTGGGGTATGGTATTCCTCATTTCGGTTGGTGCGGGACTTATTCTATGATAATTATTTGGCAGATGGCAGATGTGACCTGAAAATCCCTGAACCATATCTATGTATCAGTGGAATCAGGGACAAGTTCAGAACCATGACTCTGGGGTTCCAAATGGTTGCCATTGGCCATCCACAAAGCCCCTCGCCCAGAGATTCTTTGCCGTTGGTTCCTTGTTCTCGCCCGGACGTGCATCCGCCGCTCGAGAGCCAGCTCAAGAGCCGGCCGAATGTTGAGGAAGGGCCACTTCGACACTTACTCCTTCAAAGTTCAAGTGCAGGAGATCGCCAATTGGGTCATCAAAGTGCCACGGCTGAAAGTCCTCAAGAGTGCCACGACTCCCCCCCAGACCCTCGACCCGCTCATTTTTGTGCGTCAAGAAATCATCAAAAGCTTGGCTCAAGAGGGTTTGCAATGGTTTGGAAGGTCACGAGAGCCAATATTTGGATTCGGATTCAGGACATTGGCCGATTGGCTTGGGATGGGTCAGAAACTGGGTCATACTTGGAATCCTATAGGAAAGCTTGTGGTATTACTAGACTCGAAGTTGGACGAAGTACCAAGCAAGTCATACAACTCAGCGTGCACTGGAGGCATCGCTCAGCTTCCACACACAAGTCAGCGCTACCTTCCGGAAGACGGCGAAGAGCCTGAGCGAAGGGCGTGTCAGACGAAGTGCCCGCCGTCCCCGGCCGTCGCTTTCTCCTCGCGCCGAGCGTCCCTGACCGTGGCGGGACGATCCAGGGCGGCTCTTTAGACGATCCAGGGCGGCTCGCGTCATGACTAGGGACTTCGCCGTCCCAGGAGATTTTTGTTGGGGGGGTGTTGCCTTTGGGGGTAGGTTTGGGCCAGCAGCACTGGCCTAAAACTGAATTGATGGACCCTGGATTTGTGACTTTGCTTTTGATATTTGGACCGTTTTTGGTATGCAAGACCCACGATGCTGCGATGCTGATCTCGTAAGCATAAGACGTCCTGAATCTGAGGTTTGGACGGACGGTTAGTGGGGAGGGCTGAGCAGATACCTTTCTGCACCCCCATGTCCTTCTCCCTCTTGTTCGACGCCAAGGAACATGCACTATGAGTTCAATATTCGCCACTTGGTGACAATGAGAGCGACAACTGTTTGCCATCAATAGGCCACGGCACGAAATTGGCCATGATTGGCCATGAAATTGATTCCTTTTTTTTCAATCATGGAGGATGTCTGGCAACTGGCTCGTGTCAAAAACAGACTTGGTAGGGAATCGGTGAGTAAGCCTCCAATCAACCGTCAGCCGTGATGCCATCATTCTATTTTGTTAATATTGTACTCAAAATATTGGCGGTATGCTCCGAGGTACTTAAACCAACAAAACCAGCTCAAGAAAAGACCTTGCCACTGCGTTGCCAGCAAAAACACCAAGACTTGCTGTTTGGAACATGCGTTAATCCTGCATAATTGGAGAAGCAACATCAAACAGCAGATCTCATATTATCAGTATTTGCCCTTGACTCAACCCTCCTGCTGTCCTGAAGCCTTTTCATGGATGTTTCTTTGATCCGGCGCATCCGCCCAAAAAACCATCAAGTCCGGAATTCGCCGGTCCCAGGGCACATGAGCGGCGTCTTTGCGGGGCTCTTGAAGGCCAAGCCGAGTGAGTTCAACGACGCCGAGAAGCTGGTGCTCTTATGGATCCATGAGACCTGCCACCAAAAGCCGGAGTGATCCACAACCCAGGGCCGAACCAAGCAAGGAGTGACCGACCCAGGCCTCAACCTGGACCCCTCAAAGGTCGATGTTGGTTGCAGTTCGAGGTCGAAGCTCTCTCCAGTTCACACATTTTGGGGCGTCCTGTGGTCCCAAAGCCCCCCCTAAAAACCGATGTTTTGCTTCGGGTCTGGATCCCTTCAGCTGGTTATAATGTATAGACTATTGATTAATAACCCTCCCCATCATGGCCCTCATATGAAGAGGCTTTACACTCAGGCTTCTTGGCTCAAAGCCACTAGCCTGAGGGCGCCCCGGGACCCCAGGGCTGAGCTGCTCTCAACCTTTGAGAGAGTTCAGCGTCTACAAAGGATTCGTCCTTCCCGCCCGTGTCCTTTGTTCCGTGCGTTTCCTTTGCACCTGCGCCATGGCTTGGTTGAACCGCACTCTGGCCTTGGTTGACGAAGCTCTCACTGAGCATCGTAGGCCCGCTGTCCTGGAATTCTTCAAGAGCCGTGAATTTCCTACATCCCAGGTGTGTGATGGCCAGTCCTGCATTGTGATGGGAACTTTGATCAACAGATCACAAGACCACATCCGCATTGCTCAGATGAAGTTTGTCCCTGGCCAGGGATGGACGCAACCAGACGCTGATCCCAAAGAAGTGTTGGTTATGGTCCCCAACCTGAGCAGAAGGCACCTCAAGATTGACGCTGGAGAGCAAGTCTTGTGCTGTGGTAAATGCATTAACTCTGAAAATGAGGCCCTTACCTTTGACGAACAAGTCCTCATACTTCCACGCCCAGTGTGGATGTCAGATATGCCGATTAACACAGTTCACTATTTTGCTGGAGCCTTCGGAGGTTGGTCCCGTGCCTTGCAGTGGCTATGTCAGCATACCAAATCCTGGACCCTTGGGACACAGATTTCAGTGGACGCTGATGCAACGGTCATGAACATTTGGGCAGAACAGCATGGTCAAGCAGCCTGGCATGGCAAAACATCACCGACGTGCTCGTGGGACCCCAGCAGCCATGTTGGCCTTTGCACGCATGTGGGAGACAAATCGCTGTTAACCAGGTGTGCATTCCCGACAAACAGCTGTTCTACTATGTCCCCGCCATGCATCAGTTGGTCTCGGGGAGGGAAATCCCAGGGCCTGGATTGTGCTGCTGGCTATGCTTTCTTCGAATGCATTCAGGCCATTGACCTCCAACAACCCATCATGGTACTAGCCGAATGTGCTGATGAAACTCCCCAGCACCCGCATTTTGACATCCTTCGTCAAGCCATGTTGCTCATTGGGTACAAGCCGCTGTGGGAACAGGTGACCCCACTGCACCTCCTGTCCCACAATATGAGAACTCGGTGGCTCGCAGCATGGATCAGATCCGATGTTTCTGGATGCAAATTTGATGCAGTGATTATTCCAAGAGCACCGCCAACAACACCATGGCACTCAGAGGTGAACAACTTGTGGATTCCACCAGAGGTAGCATCTCAGCTTCACGTCACCAAGGAAGCCAAAGCAAAGTACGTTGACCCTCAATTTTTGCCGCAAGCCAAGAAAGCAAGAGTTAGTGGTGGCTCAGCCAATGAAGTACTGCGACTCCGACTTGCAGCACGGGATGAACCACTGCCTACGCTGTGTAGTTCCTATTCGTCGCAGCACATGTTGGATCCAGTTCATTTGGCAAACAAGGGAATCTTTGCAGTGTTGGATGCCTGTGGTGATGAGGTTTCTTTTCTGAGCCCCCCTGATTCCATTGTTCTGCCGTGTGCAGTTTCTGAGGCGTTCCATGGACCTAGCAATGCTATCGCTCAGCCACATGCCCTCCTCGCTTGGTCTGTTGCTTTGCGTGCTTTGTCCACACAGTCTGAGGCACCTGAGTTCCTCATTCGAGAAGCCTGGCAGCAGAGAATCACGTCCCTTAATGCAGTTGTGCAGAAGAAGGGCCAATGGTTGTGGGTCCAGAAGCTAGAAGTTTTCGTGAAAGCATTGGACTTCCGGTTTTATTTCTTGCCAGACCCTGCTGTCAGGTACATTCTGATCAAAACCTGCTTGCACTCCGCAGGAACCAGCAGGCTCACTCACGTTCCGGCAAGCGCCACGCTGTTCGAAGCACTCCAATGCATCCTGACCTTTGCGGACACCAACCCAGAGGATGTCACGTTTGACCAGGCACTCGGCCCAATCATGCGAGAGGAACTTGCCGCCACGTCACTTGATGGGAACAAAATCATTCGTTGCTTCTGGAAAAATCAACTCATTGCCACACTGGCACTTGAGTCGAAGTTTGATGGTATGCACCTTGTGGAAGACATCATTTCACCAACTCAACCCTTCGAGTTTCAGGAGCCTGCAGACAGCATTGTGATTTCGTGTGTCGATCAAGTGTATGCAAGCCTCACAGCACACCCAACCTTCATGCATGCCATCACCTTCATGGAGTTTTGTGCCAAAGCCTGCCGAGAGTTGCGAAACCCTTCGCATTGTGCCATCGCATGGGAGCAACCACCTTTGCTTTTTGCTATCCAAACACCGCAGGAGCAGAGTGTAGCGTTCATCCAAATGCAGCTGAACCAGGTCTGTGACAAACACTACCAAGTCTTTGTCAGTCCAGTGTCCTTGCCAACAATCGCTGAAGGAGACCTTGTGTTTGTACGCCCCCAAAAGGAGGTTGATGATGTCCTTGTCATCCTTGAAACACCGAGACCCACAGCTTGCTGTCATGTGAAGTCAGTCCCAAGGACCTTGCCAATTCAAACTACTGTTATCACACGTCATGGACAATTCGAGCTTGCCCAACACAATCGAAGGCCCCTTTCAAGCAGCTCCGTCCAGTGTCACAATGGTGATGTCCTTGACTCATTCAACGGCAATGGGCTGCCTCTGATGAATTGTATGATGCTGTAATGCAACTGCAGCAGAGGGCACCGCAGTATGCCACTTCGATTGGGCTTCAGCGATGGGACCCCAAGTTTGATGATTTTAATGATGACCTGTTTGGGGAAACCAATTTTGCCACGCATGGCCGTACGCTGATGCTCTTGCAAGTGCAAGCCCATTGGGCCCTCATTGAGACTGTCCAGAACTCAGGAAGCATCACTGTCAATGTCTTTGGTCTGCCGCAAGCCCTCGCTGTTCGTGCAGCTCACATCACATGTCGACTCGTTGACATTGCACCAAGCCGTGCCAGCATTGAGTTGCACTTGACCCCTCTTGATGAGAACATGTGTGGATGGTGTTTGATCTATCGCCTCTTTCGAGCAGTTGGACTTCATGAATGCCTCCCTGATGGCTTGTCCAGAAGCTCAGGCCTCAACCCACATCACATTGAAGCCATCATTGCATCTGTGCTTGCCACAAAACGGGAGTGGGATCGCTACACAGCTGATGCGGACTTGAAAAGCTTTGCCTTTCGCTATCGCCTCAATTTCTTGCTTCACCTTGCCTCCATTGAGAGCACTGCGGGACTTGCCACGGAAAGTTCCTTTGAACTTGCATCCGATTGCCTTGCCCTCAGCACCAGCCGCGGCCAGTTCCACCTACATCCATGACCCACCGTTGTTTCGGGACTCCAGATCAGTTGCTTGTCAAACGGTGCAGACACATCCTGTTGACCGTGTGTTGGGTCGCCTTGTTGCTACAACTCCCCATCCTGGCTGGCTCTTTTCTGACACGCTTGACTTTGGACTTTCATTCCTTTCGGCAAGCTGCCCCCAGAGCGTTCTTTGCTCCACCATGTCAGTGGCAATCTGATGAACACTCGATTTCCTTCTTTGATGGACTTTCTTGCAAGATTGACTCCTACGAGGTTGCGTTCGTCTTTGTCCTTGCTGACCAACATTGGCTCTTGTGAGTTTTGCAGGCATGTGTGGGATTTTGTGGTCTTTGTCCATGGCCCTTCCGAGCGCAGAGAACAAAGTGAGATCCTTGGTCATGCCCTTGCGACGAAGATCCTCCATGGAGACTGTGTTGTCCAGGTCCGACATGTTGAATGTCACACCCCTGCCCACATGTGTGGTTGGACTTTACTCTCTTCGGTCTTCCAACGCTTTGGTACTTTGATGCCACTCCCACAGACAGAAGTCCTCGCCACCCTCCGCATGCATGAGCTAGCACCTTGGTTTCAATGGATTCAGCAAAATGCTGCGGCCCAATGGAGATCCAATGATCAGCACCTTGTCAATTTTGCCGCTCAGCTGCTTGTCCTTCACTTTCATGAGATCGTTCAGAATCGCATCCCACGTGATTTTGCTGCAGGCGGAGCTGTGACTCCCAAGAATTGCCAGATGCCTCCACAGAGGCGCCAAGTGCTTCAGTCGATCCTCTTACCATCCACGATCCATGGGCGAGGGCCAAGAGCCCTCCATCGAAGTGGGAAGACCTCATCCTTTCCAAGAGTCACCCATTTCTGGATGAAAAGGGCAATCAGTTGGCCCAATTGCACAGACTTCAAGCCACCAACCTCACGGGTGGCATCATCATGACAACTCGTCAGTATGTGCCTGACCTTTTCAAATTGCAAGGCAAGCACACACTTGTCCTGTTGATCCCGCAATTGGATGACCATGCGAAAGCCACTCTCGGGGTTGCAGCACACGGGCCGTTCGAGGTGATCCTGTATGACAAGGCTGTGAACCAAACGTACAAAAGAATCACCCACGCTTTCGCAGCTTGTGGGAATTGAAAGATCCCTCGTGTGAGTTTAGCATTGTGTCTGTTTCCGAGCTGGTCTTGGAATACGATTCCAGGCTTTGCAGCAAGCAGGATTTTGAGCAAGCCAAGGCATCGCCCTTGACCTTTTTCAAAGACTTCTTGCTCACTCGCATCCCAAGCCTGAAGGACAAGCTCACCATATATGGATTTCGCCACAATCGCCACCCGTGTGCCCAAGTTCTGGGACATCAACATGAAGATGCTTCGCGAAATTCAGATCACCACTGATCAGGTGAAAGGGGTCGCTGGACTTACGATGACCCGCAGAGGGCTGGCAGTCAGAGCATGGGCGAGCAATGTGGCAGAAGTCCGACGCCTTCTTCTCCCGGCTGACCCACGGCCCACTGACTCCAACATAACCATCGTCCCAAAATTCATGTATGAAGCGTCAGGGTGGCCCACGGGCGCTGGTCCTGCCGAGGTTGTCGAAGCAGTGAACAAAGCCGTAGGGACACCACCAGTCCCTACTCGTCAGTACCGCCTTGCCGGAGTGCATGTCTGGCAGCTAGGGTTTGCCATTGAGCCCAAGCTTGACACCTTCACTGTCAAAGTGAACTCCATCGTGTACCAGATCCTGCTTTCGCCGTCAGCTACAAGCGACAAGGGGCAAGGCAAAGGCAAAGGGAACAAGAAAAGGAATGGCAAAGGTCCACGGCTAGATGATGCCACACCTGTCAAGGTCTCCGCCCCTTTGTCCTCCACGGCAGAAAGCAAGCGCATCGAGACCCTCGAGGCAAGGTTCGACTCCCTCCAGTCGCAAGTCACGGGCATTGAGGCAAAGCAAGGGTCGCTTGAAAGCAAAATCGATGACCGCTTTGTTGAGATCTCCAGCACATTGCGCCAGTTAGTGCAGCTCACCCAAGGAGCTCGCCCGCATGAGCCTACGGGGGAATCACCCCCATCGAAATTCGCAAAAAATGCTTGATGGTGTGCAGCTGAGCTGCTGTGTCGCTTGGTGTGGATTTTGGTTCTTCTGTTTCCTCTCTGTCCTTCCTGTGTCTTCGGTCATCACTCACCGTGCGGCATGGGCTTTGCTTCGCGCTCATCAGCCACCTGGGGTCGCTTCCAGACCCCTCCAGTTTGCAAGTGTGAGAAGCCAATTGCAGCTTCTAAGTTAACGGTTTGCTCCTATCCGCAAAGCCACCATGCTTTTGTCCGTGTTGCCCTCTTGGTCTTTGTCCTTGTGGATTTCTGCGGTCGTGAGTCTTCATCTTTCAGTGCTCCATGGCACCACCTGTGTTGCGCTGGATTTTTGGGGAATGCCAATTCAGCTATCAAGATGCCTCGAATCATGACCGCTTTGCACCTCATCCAGCGTTGTCGAAAATGTGCTGCGCCTTCGGCCGTACACTATTTTTCTTTTTCACCACGGGGGTTTTCCCTGTTCGGTTTCATCTTTGTCCTTATTCGCAGTGTCAACACTGTTTTTCATGCCCCAAGCTTCGCCTTTATCCATGGCCGAAATTTGATGCAACTTTAGGATTTCCCGGTGAGGGTCCGTCAGAAGACTCCTTTTGGAAGTTGATTTGTGCCAACATTGGGTCACTCAACACGAACCTTCACTGGCGTTCGTGGCAGGCTCAGACACTTTGTTTGCAGGAAACGAGAATCGGAAAAAAAACGGCATTCGGAATGCCAAGAAAACAGTTGAAACTCAAGGCCTCCAGTTGTTCCATGGGAAGTTACTCCCGGGTTTGCTGTCTTGTCATGGTGTGAAACGCACCCCTCACGGTGGTGTTGCAATCCTGGCACCTAAAGATTTTGGGACCGAGTTTGACCCTAACAGTGATCAGTCCGGATTGTATTTGAAGATCCTGGAAACCAAACGTGCACATGCAGTTTGGGTGCAAGTTTCCAAGAACCTCAAAGTGTTGGTCATTAACATCTACTGTCGAACCGGTGCCTCACAAGACAGAGTGGTCCAACAAACTAATAACGATTTGTTGCAGGACTTGTTCACGTTCGCTTGCCAGTTCGGGTCCATCCCAGTTATCATTGCTGGGGATTTCCAACTTCCCCCGTTGCAATATGATGCGGTTTCCCAAGCGGTTAACTTCCACCAATGGAATGACTCTCTTGCGGTCACCGAAGAACCAGGCATCTTTCGCCCCCTTACGTACTCTGCTGACGGCACGTTTACGGGACCAGGAGACGGGTGCAGTAGCATCCATGGGGTCCTGACAAACGCCACCGCGTCCGCAGCCCTATTTAGAGCAGAGGTCCTTCCGCTGTTGAAAGTTCAACACAGACCCATACAGGTCACGTTTAAGTGGGATCATTTGTGGCAACGAGGCTTCATTTTGTATAAGACTGCGCCTTTATGCCTTCGTGGCCTTAACCAGCATGTACAACCTGATTCTTCTTTGAACCACATTGAGCAATGCCATGACCTGACCATCGATGAATGCTGGAGTCGTGCTAATCACATAGCCATTGATGCACTCCTGGCTCAAGGCGCCTCGTGGGGCCCTGGCCCACGCCAAAGAGGGGAAGCCGTCCAAACAAAATCCAAAGTGATATGCCCTGGTCAGCATCCGAATGGATGTGCTGTGACCAAACGTTCGTCTTGGTTACATAAGGAGGCCTCCGAGAAATCCTCTTTTTTCATACTGCCCCACTCACTGCAGGACCTCGAAAGGTTATCCAGCAAAGAACAATCCAGAAGGCCTGGAACCGGCTGTTTTGGCTCCAAGCCCCTTGTCTCTGGCCATGGGACCAACAACCCAGCTTGCTCCAGACCCTCCAAGCTCTTCAGTGGGTTCAAGATGCCATTACGATGGACGAAATTAAAATTTTAGCTTCGCAGAATAGCTCGCTGGAAAAAACAAAATTCAGAGCAGCGCTCATGCCGGTACTTCCTTCGTGTACCAACACCTCCGGAATCGTGCAACTGATGAGCCACCCAACCTTGTCACTGACAGTGCTGGCAACCTTCTTGTTGAGCCACAAGATGCTATAAGTGAAATTAATAATCAGTGGGACACGGTTTTTAGTGCCAACCAAGGGTATCCTCCGCCACTCCACATGTTAGAGACAGTGTGGCCGCATATCCACCACTGTGGCCATGACTATGATGTCCCAGAGCTTCAAGCCACTGATTTGCACCGCATCATCTCCGCCCGTAGGAAGGATGCCACACCAGGTTTAGATGGGTGGCGCACATGTGAAATGCAGGCACTACCCATCTCAGCACTGCATGTTTTCGCACACATTTTTCGCCGCCTCGAGATCAGCGATGAACCACTACCCCAAGCATTGGCGATTGCGAAACAAATCATTTTGAACAAGAATGGGAGCTCGGAACCGCTGCAGAAGCGGCTCATAACGATTCTTCCTGTAATTATGTTGGCTTACACAGGAGCGAGGTTCCACCATCTGCGTGAATGGCAGATGTTCGTCATGCCGAAGCAGCTCCAAGGTGGTATCCCGAATCGCAGTATGCCTGCCATTCACACCTCCTTTGCGCTGTGCATCGATAATGCTAAAGATCAAAACATACCACTCTTGGGCGTAAAGATTGACAAGGCTAAGTGCTTCGACAGGATCATCCCTGCGTACGCAGCTGCCTTGATGATTGCTTTTGGCGTCCCAAAGAAAGTTGTCTTGATTTTTTCTAAACTCTATCAACAATTGACCAAACATCTTGCCTTTAAATCGTGGTTTGCCCCAACCGCCACGCATGGCCCCAACGGTGTAGCCCAGGGTTGTTCTCTCTCGTTGATCGCAATCAACGTTCACATGAAGGCATGGGTGCATTTGCTTGAGGCGCTACCCACTGTGACAGCCCAAGCATTCATAGATGATGCATACCTTTGGGCCCACCTGTCCCATGCGGCCGATTTGCAGCAAGCCATTGATATCACAGAGCAATGGGATCTCCTCGTGGGACAAGCCATGAATTGGGGAAAGTGTACCATTTGGGGTACGTCGGGTGAAGCACGCAAAACCGCGAAAAACTTTTTTCCTGCCATGAAATTTGCGTTTGAGGTCGAAGTACTTGGAGTAAACATTAGAACCAGTAACAAACTCTCCATGCACTTCTCTGAGGCCAAGTGTGCGAAGATTTTGGCCGATATCCAAAACATTGCCGCTTTACCTTTGCCAACCTCAATGAAAGCCAAACTTCTCGGAGCGAAGGTCATACCCCAGTGCACATACTGCCCAACCCTCAACCACATCCCAGCCAGGCAGCTGAGTAAACTCCAAGGGGCTATTGCCAACGTTTTCTGGGGTAAGCGACCACATTGGCGATCTAGGTTCCTTGTGTTTGCCCTCCTGACCAAGCCACATGGCGTTGAACCAGTTTGTGCCAGGCACTACAATGTCATTCTTGACACACTCCGGTTTTTGCAGCAGTATCCTGATCAGCACAGCCGCTTTCGTTTCTTGCTGAAACAAGCCACACCCGGAAAACCAACCTTTGCACAAACGGTTAAGCAGGCATTTTGGTTTCACAGCCTTGAGCTCCTGTCGGATGCTACCATTTGCTTTCGCGGCCATCATTTAGCCAATCTGTTTCAGCCAACTACCAAGGATGTCAAGCCAATGCTTAAGCTGTTATGCCAGCAGGCATGTTATGCCCAAGCCTCCTTGCAGCCACGCAAGGAGTTTCGAGCACCAGCCGGAGTCTTAGACCCATACTTGTCCACCATTTTTCTCAAGCGATCCAAGCTTTGCTTTGAAGGAGATGTTCCTGCCGCCTCCTTTTTCGAAGCTCAACTTGTAGGATGCGTCTTGACAAATGACCGCCTTGCAGCGGCACATCTTGTTGAGTCTGCACAATGTCGCTTTTGTCAACAGGACAAAGAATCCATTCCGCACTTGATTCGTGAATGCAGCCATGTCCAAGCGCTTTGTCCCCAACCGCCAGTGCATGAGCTTGGCCGCAATTTCGAATATCTAGGCATTGTTGAGCACCCATGGTCAGTCCTCGCAAAGCGGTTACAAATTGGTGATCCTGCCCTGTTGCATTTTGCACAGCCAGATAGCAATGCTGCTCCCTGCATCCTTTGGACAGATGGCTCGCTCTTGTGGGCTGAGAATCCCCTTCTTGCTTGTGCTGGCTTTGCCGTAGTAAACCAAGAAAATGAAGTTTGTGCTCAAGGTACAGTAAATCATTGGTTGCTCACAAGCTATTCCGCTGAATTGTGGGCACTGATAGTTGCCTTCAGCATTGCCTCGTCCCCAGTTGAAATCAGGTCGGATTGTCAGACTCTAGTAACACATGTCCAGCACATGATCATGCATGATTGCATTGTTGACACATGGCCGCACTTGCACTGGTGGCATTGTCTATATGATGTTTGGCATACCCGCAGCACTGTGTTTTCCAGGCCGCTAGAGGTCTCCTGGATACCAGCACCCAAGCTTGAACATATCCCCGAACATTTAATAGACCATGACATGGCAGCCGCCAATGGGTCCACCCCACTCGACATCGCTCGTAACCGTAAAGCGGATCATGCCGCCAAAGCACAGGTCTATGGTTCCAGTGCCATTGCCCCTTCCATGTACGAACCGTTATGCCAAGCCGTTCTCAACCGACAGGAATGGCTAACATCGTTGTGTTATACTATGGGCACAACCATGCCTCCGAGACCTGCTGAACCAGATAGTGACCAAGATGAAAGCCATATTCCTGCCGCCCAACAGTTCCCTCGGCTGCCTTGGAATGCAGATGCTGCGTTGTTTACTTGGTGCTTCCACACTCCGTGGCCAGACAACCCAGTCAGTGAATCAGTACTGTCAACTAACGATTGGAAAGCTTTTGGCCACTTCATGCAAAGTCTCAAATGGCGCTCAGAGGAAAGTCTGGCCATCTCACACGCAGAGTTGGCACTGCTTTTTTACCACGATGGTTTCAAGTGCACAGAACTTTCCTCTAATCAGCACTTTACATTTCAGGACTTGATTGTGTGGTTTAAAAAATGCCTCAAAATCTGCCGAAAGCATCTTCCTATTTCGCTTTTTCCAGGGAAGAACGATTCCCGATGGCACAACTCATGGGGGAAGACCATGCCAGCAGGAGCGATTCTCAATGCCGCACCCTTTTTGCCGAACTCCTTCCTGGAGTTCCTCGTTTCGGTTTCACGTAGTGTTGTAAAGGCGAATCTCGATACCTGGGCCTTCTGTGTCTCAACTTTTCCTCGATGATTCTCGCATCTTGTTTGGGTGATCCTTTTGGATCCTTTTTGTTCAGGGTATGCTAGCAAGTGGAATGCTTGCAGCAAAGTCTCACACCGACGTCGTGAGCGCGAGTGGTAGAAGAGGCTTTACACTCCATTTATGAGGGGTGATTCTAATTATTGACTCCAAGTCGCTTCACTGGCTTCACTCCCTTTGGATCCAAAGTGGGTCCGGTTCCAAAGGCTGGTGGATCCGTCCCTGAAACCCCGGTCCCAACCAGAAGCAGCTCGGGTTGTTCCGGCAGTTGAGATCCTGGCTGGGCCCGGGGGAGTGGAGAGGTCTTTTGGCATGCAGCAGCATGACACATGAGATTCGATCACAGGGAAGCTGGCCTTTTTGAACAGGTCTTGTCAAGTATAATCTTGTATATTCAACTGTTCCCTCGTTTGCGACTGTTCTGAACTAAGATGCCAATGCAACATCGCAATTGGATGCACTTGGCCACATGACATGGCCCTGTGTCGGAGATGGGTCATCCAGCTCCATGGTTTGGCCAATTCGTGTTGGCACTACCCCGGTTTGGTCGGTCGGTCGGTCGGTCCAAAGGCGACGTATGGGACCGACCGCAGCCCCAAACATTCCAGACTCCTCGCCGCCTCGCCCGACCCGGCCACTCCCCGGGAGAAGGGTGAAGAAGCAAGAGTCTTTACCAAAGAGAACTGACACACCTTTGTTTGCTTCTTGTGGCAATGGATTTCATCCAAATCATTATGATTCGTAGGATCATGTTTTTTCTCCCGCTTGGGGTTGCAGATGAGTGCTGTAGGTGTTGCTCCTGCCAATCCTGAAAGATTGAATACACACAGTCGACGCAAGGAGTAGTTCCAAAGGACTTGGGGTTCCAGCTTTTGGGACCCCTTTCCACCCCTGGACCTCCACATCCTCTTGAACCACCCCTGGGACCCGACCCGGACCCGGAGACCGTGTCCGTCCGCATGGGGCGCATGGCCTCTACTCCGTCAGGAGAGCGAACGTGGCTCGGAGGAATTCAGATCGACCGAGCTGCATCGGTGGGATGAGACGAGCCACGTTCGCATGGCAGCTGCACCAGTCAGAGCTGGCTGCTTGGTGTCCAGTTTTCGAACTGGCCCAGACTGGTCGCCTTTGCTGGCCCAGCTTTTTCCTAGCCGTTTTCTTTTTTAACCATCAACGTCAAATGCATGGCAATGCAGCTGCGTTCCTTTTGCTCCTGGCCCTCCTATATTCTTCAATTACCGCTGCTCTTTATATAGCCCTTCAAAGTTTTCAGCGTCATCACCAATCTGCATCTGCCTGGGACGCCCATGGAAGGCATCTACGGCGACCGCTTGGTTTGCCACGCTGACTTGAAGAAGCTTCGGCACTTGACGGAGAAGATCTCGAAGCAAATGTCACTGGCCATGTGCAGCGTCTCATTGTTCTTTTCTATCATGTTCTATTTGGATTCAATCCCTACACTTAGGCGACATATTTGGGGCAACATTGCATATTTGAGGCCAAGCCCAGCCATGCCCAACCTGGATCAATGAAAACACCGAGGATGAGGATGTATACATTGCATAAATGTATATCCTGTAGTCGACATGTGCAGCTTTTGTAGAACAATAAATCTGTATATAGATGAATCTAATTATATACGCAACAAGCATTTGGTAAATGAAACGGGTGCGATGATCTGACCACATCTGTTTTTTCCAGCCATGCGAAGTTGAGGTTCTCCAAGCACAATTTGCAGAAATATTTTCAAGAGAAGAACCCGGAGCCCATCATTTTTGCCCCCCTTCTCGCGGGGCCATCATAACATGGATGATGGAGGCCTGATGTTTTCGCTCTCCCTGCTTCGTTTTCACACTGTGCATTTGTCATGATGGGGATGTTGTTTAATTACTGTTAATTAACAGACCTTACTAATTAGTAGCTATGCTCAACCACCCAACCAATTGCTTGTGCATGCTAATTAGTCCTGTTAGTTTTGTTCCGATTTTTTCTCACATTATTAACATTAATTACGTCAGATACATGGTGAACTCAGCGGCTGATACCCAGACATGACCATAATGTGATGAGACCAGGGCATCACACATCACACCATGACACTAGGTCAAACCCAAGAAAAAATCAATAGGGGATAATAAAACTGTTTTGGGGATTTGGTTAGGTTTGTTCAGCGTGAATCATATGTCAACATTAGGCCCTAATCATTAGGCCTCTGAAAGATTTTTCAACGCTTATATAGCATGTTTGTCGTAGAGTCCAGCTGCCTCACCCACAAGTGAAATGTCAAGCTCCCTCCGTCCAGCTCACTTGGATTGAATCAAGGGATATATCAACGACGCTGCACAAGAACACTATAGGAGTTGTCAGTGAGTTGCGTCTCCCTGTTGGTTGCATATGTTGTTCCCCTTTGATGCTTCCATGAGGGTGCTTTCCTGCCCCCCAAAAACGCCAGGCGTCTACGACAAGATCAAGGACATGGAGCGCTTGTCACAGATCCTCCATGAAGCCATGGCCGACTATGAGACTTGGGAGGACTTACTGTAGCAAAAAGCTCAGCAAAACTCAACGACAAACGTGTCCAGAATGACCAAGTGAAAAAACAAGAGAGTTAAACACACATTTTTCAACCAACAGTCGAAACAAGCGTCGTTTGACCGTGAATCTATTTCGGCTATATAGTTGGAAGTTGGAACCCACAAAGGCATATATATATATATATGGATAGAAAAGCATGAGAACAGCCAAGCACCAGCAGATGACTGTGGTCTTTTAACACCAGCTCCGTTCCCCTCCTTGGGGCTTACGGCCAAGAAACAATCCTAAGGATAGCACCTACGCGGCCAT